TTTCCATTCATTGAGAATGGAAAAGGCAAAAACATCTCTTGATTGAAAGCACTTCTTTAAATCGATTCTAAAGAAATATTCTTTTCCTACATTCATAATGTAGGGAAGGACTGTCCCGTTATGAACATGGACTTCAACAGACTAAGGGACTGCTGATGGAAATGGGGGTGGGGACAATGGGCGGTTCAGGGTGGTGGATTGAGGAGGGGAGCTAATCCTGATCCTCTCCACCCCCGGAAAAAGGAGTGAAAGTGGATATGAGGGAGATAAAATAAAAATAAAAACCTTACATGGCCTCAGAGCAATTGTTGTTTGAGAAAAAATTCCAAGAAGTGCAGAGAGAGTGCAATCATCTCATCCTGCGACACGGCCAAAATCAAAAGATTTCCAGCCATAATATTCATTTTTAAGGAATGGGTTGAAGTTGGACTTTGTTTTATGTTTAATAACATTTCAGTGAAGTTGATCAAATTACATGACATCAGTATCACTAAATGTCGCAAAAATGAATGAGTCTTTAATCTGACCTGAACATAACTGGATGGCACTTTTCTACCTTTATCTAATCTGGGGGTCTTATTTCCGGGTGGCTTTTTTCCGCCTTTGCCAATTCTGGGGGTCTTATTTCCGGGTGGCTTTTTTCCTAAAACCGCATTTCATGTGCCTTTTCCTTCCCCCTTTGGAAAAATTGTGGGGGTGGGTGGCGTGCGCCTCACGAAGGTACGCCCTGACTCAGGATGTCAATACTAATGCCTCTTGACATCCCAACAACTGTGAATTTTCTTGAACATGTTTTAATTGCATTTTCTGTCATTTATGGCGATTATAGCTCATAGGGATCATTCATGCTATCTTTATGATGCACTTATGCTTCACTATTAGTTTACAGGTTGTGCTCATTCCACATCACCTGACTGGATGATGGAACACTGCTTACTATGTTCAGCACGACAGACCATGGGTGATTTCAAAACTGAAGTTCGGTTGCGGTTCGTTTCTACAGGGTGAGCCAAAAAAAATTAAGCTGTCATTTTTGATGAGTCACCAATCTCAGTGTAGGCTGCTGATTCTTATTAAATTTGGTAGGCTTATAGGGTGACACAATCGGAGTTTATATGCTGAATTTCTGCCTCCTGGCTCTAAAATTATAGGCGCTATAATTATTTTCTAAAGGCCCACGATAAAATGTGCAGTCGAAAATATCATTATGAATTTGAGGCCAGGATGAAAGGAAGGACTGAATACATGACCTTCCATCCCTGCATGATGCTATGGAGAAAGATTGAGAAGTACTGCCTCAAAGATTTATTGACCAAGCCATTGATCAGTGGCATCTCTGACTAGAGGCTTGTGTTCAACAGAATGGAGGGCACATTGAGCCCCTTTTCAGTTGAAATGAACCTACCTAAATCAAATTGTGTGCTTTTTTTTGGCATTTGTGAAATTTGTTTTTGTTCTCTGTTTTTGTCAGTGGTGAGAAATTTTAAGTTGAAAAAAAAAGTGAACACTTACTTTTTTGGTGACAAAAAGTAAATTAAATGCCAATCTGTTTTTGAATTCTGATTTGAAACTCAGTGTACAAACCCTAATTGAGTCACCCTATGTGCATACCAAATTTCATGAGAATTGGCAGACCACAATCAGATTGACAACTCACCAAAAAGGATACTTTGTTTTTTTTTTTTTTTTAGCCCACCCTGTAGTTTCAGTCCAGGCTTTGGTCTGACTGAAGTTTTACTGTGCTCTGATCGACTTCTATCACAAAGAAATCCCAACCAGAACTATGACTGAAATAAAACTGGAACTGAACTGCAGTTTGGAAATCAGCCCACAACCTATGTTTACCTACACCCACTCTAGTTTATAAACATTCATCCTTGAACCATACAATTCCAAAATGCAGTGATAGGTGCAGGGAATGAGCTCACCTGATGATTGTTGACCCTAGTCTTTTTGGTGCATTGTTTAAAGCAGGGGTCTCAAACCCATTTCAGTGTGTGGGCCATATTGTCAAGATTGCCTCTTTGCAGGCCAGGGAAAAAGTTTGGGGTTTTTTCTGATTGTGTATATTGGGCCTGAAACATTTCTCTTTGTTTACAAAGGTGCATCAGGTGGGCCAGATAGAGCATTTGCAGGCTGCAAGTTTGACCCCTGGTTTAAAGAATTCTTGAGGAAATAAAAGTATCTTTCTGTCATCACCTTTACAATAAAACAAATAATGAAAATATGCTACCTTCACACTCAGATGCAACCCATTCACTTTCACTCACTCACTCAGGCCATTGACCATCTAAAAATAACCCCTTTTCTGAGGTGTTGAACTCTCAGAAAAACTCCACCTCCAACAATGTAACCTTATTTCACCTATTCATCTTTTTTCCTTTTCTCTATCCTGACTCCTTCCCATCCTCAACTCATGAAAAGAAAAATTTCCTTGTGCTCATGCCAAAAAGGATTTTATTCCTTCAACCCAAAAGCCATTGGAATGAAAAAGGGAAAGAAAGGAAGCATTTTGATATGAAGTACGAAGTCATCTCCATGTATGGTAGGAGAAAGCAGGGGTGAAGAAGCAGATAGGGAAGATATTGAAATTAATACTCCTCTCCACCCTCTTCTCCTTCCTCTGTGGAATCCACACCGACTTCTTCATAGTCCTTCTCGAGAGCTGCAAGATCTTCACGGGCCTCAGAGAATTCCCCTTCTTCCATCCCCTCACCCACATACCAATGGACAAAGGCTCTCTTGGCATACATCAGGTCAAACTTGTGATCCAGTCGAGCCCAAGCCTCAGCAATGGCAGTTGTGTTGCTCAACATGCAGACAGCCCGCTGCACCTTGGCAAGGTCTCCACCAGGGACCACAGTAGGAGGTTGATAATTGATGCCCACCTTGAATCCTGTTGGGCACCAATCAACAAACTGGATTGTCCTCTTGGTCTTGATGGCAGCTATAGCTGCGTTTACATCCTTTGGGACCACATCCCCTCGGTACAGCATGCAACATGCCATATACTTTCCTGCAATAGAACAACATTCAAGGTTTGCATACTATTGATATTACAGGCAATTCAATTGCTGATGGTCTCCAGAGAGGAATCTTACCATGTCGAGGGTCACACTTCACCATCTGATTTGCTGGTTCAAAGCAGGCATTGGTGATCTCTGAGACAGAGAGTTGTTCGTGGTATGCTTTCTCAGCCGAGATGATGGGAGCATATGTGGCAAGGGGGAAATGGATTCGTGGATATGGGACCAAGTTGGTCTGGAATTCTGTGAGATCCACATTCAAGGCTCCATCAAAACGAAGAGATGCTGTGATGCTGGATACAACTTGTGCAATCAATCGATTCAGGTTGGTGTATGATGGCCTCTCAATGTCCAGGTTCCTTCGGCAGATGTCATAAATGGCTTCATTATCCACCATGAAGGCACAGTCAGAGTGCTCCAGGGTTGTGTGTGTTGTCAGGATGGAATTGTATGGCTCTACCACAGCTGTGGCCACCTATAGTTCAAGTCAAGTATGGTTTGATTTTTATTGTTTCCTAGATCATCAAGTATTACAAAGTCCAAAAAAATCATAAGCTCAACTAACCTGAGGAGCAGGATAGATGGAAAATTCCAATTTGGATTTCTTGCCATAGTCCACAGAAAGACGTTCCATGAGGAGAGAAGTAAAACCTGACCCAGTGCCACCCCCAAAGGAATGGAAGATGAGGAAACCCTGGAGGCCAGTGCATTGGTCAGCCAGCTTCCGGACTCGGTCCAGGACCAGATCCACAATTTCCTTCCCAATAGTATAATGTCCTCTGGCATAGTTGTTGGCTGCATCTTCCTTGCCTGTGATCAACTGTTCTGGATGGAAGAGCTGTCGGTATGTCCCAGTACGGACTTCATCCACAACAGTGGGTTCCAGATCCACAAAGACAGCCCGGGGGACATGTTTTCCTGCCCCTGTCTCACTGAAGAAGGTATTAAAAGAATCATCACCTCCTCCAAGGGTCTTGTCAGAGGGCATTTGCCCATCTGGCTGGATCCCATGTTCCAGGCAATACAATTCCCAACATGCATTCCCAATCTGCACCCCAGCTTGTCCTACATGGATGGAGATGCACTCACGCTGCAAGGTAAGAAAAGATATCTTGCAAATTATCAAGCCACAAAATCCATAAAGTGAGCTATGGTCTAGATTGCTGCATTACTAAGCATGTGGGTCATAAAGGCCTGCTCTGATAACAGATGGCTCACAAAGCAAAAATAACTATTTGGAAATTAAGCTGCTCAGATGTAGCTACAATATGAATAAGTAGCTTCTGTTTTAGCATATTCTAAATTTACTGCAACTGTAACACAACTCTTCAGACAACAATATTGTTAGGCCTTGTCAAATGTAACAGTGGATGGCATGCACCAGATCGATTAAACTTAAACTAATCTGATCTTAAATGGTCCCCTATGGGAATCATTTTGACAGATTATCTATAGATACCCATTAAGTAGCCAACTCAGTTCAAAGTCGAACAGATCCAGTACATGTCACCTAGTATAACCTCATCCCCTTGAACAAGGCCTGTAATACCTCCACACATCATCAAGGAAGGCTGATCTATGCAATGGATGCATCTTTCCTTAAGATACGTCCTTCAGGTGGCCGTAAGGCCAATGAAAAGATTTCCTAAGTTTCTCAGCCACAGTTCTAACGTTAGCCCAAGGCTCAGGTCAACTTGTCCTCACTTAAGCTTGACACTTGGACAAGGCAAATTATCGGAAGTTTTCTTTCCTACGGAAAAAACGTTATGACCTCTGCATCCCACGTGATCGTCCAATCCTGATGACTCCAACCATAAGCTTCTAACTTTGAACTGCTCTACCAAATACATCAGTCTGACCCTTTAACAGGGGAGTACTTTCTGTCTATTCTAACGTTACAAATTCCCTGGAGGGGGGGTGTAAAACATTCATAACGTTGACGGACATTGACCATCAATTAGGGTGACCAACTTTTTTTTTAGAAAATGCCGGAATGTTAGTCCCTGCAATTGGATAACGCCGGGACATTACCGCCTGAAACATTAGGGCGTGTGGTTACCCTAGCCTACAGAGAAACGAAAATGCAGCTCACCATTTTGTACTGATTGACTTGGACTAGTCGGAATCGGTTGTGAGGATGTTCTAATGAACGGAGATCTCCCAACGAACCAGTAAAGCACGGCCAGAGGAGACAAACGTTCGACTGTGAATTCTGATATGGCGGAACAGCGGTTGCGGCGGAGGAATCCACGGCCTTTGTCCCATTGGCTCCTTCCTATAGCATGACTCATCGAATTACGTTGCACACTAGAGGTGACTAAGGTCTCGATTAGAATCATTCTGGCCCAGGGACGTAGCCAGGAATTATTTTCGGGGGGTGTCTTGTGAGGCTCTCATGAGATGACGAAGTGCCCCCCCCTCTCATATTCCTTGTTTCATGAAATTTTGCTTCTTTTTGGGAGGTGTCCAGGCATCCCAGGCATCCAGGACACCCCCTTGGCTACGTCCTTGTTCTGACCCGAAACCACCTTGTGCAGCAACTTTACCGCAGCTGTACAGAATGAATGACTAATCCTTTACTATTGTCATTCTCCCAGGGCAGAAGTTGACATAAGAGATATGATACATTTCATGAATGGGCCAATTTGGTGTATTAGAGGAAAACAATAAATATAGAACAATGAGAAAAAGGAAAAAGAAAGTAAAATAACCCAAAAGGAAAGAATGGATATATTAATACAAGAGAAACTCGTTAGTTTGAATACTTGTCAAGAAGTTTCGTTAGGAAATGTCTGATGATTTTTCTTCCCCCCCCCCCCCCCCCCCCCCCCGAAAGTTACTTAATTGTCTGGTGAACTCTTTTAAAATAGGAATGAAATTGGGGCTCATTTCTATCTCCGTCACTTGTCTTATTGAGTACTGTTACGGCTGCCGTGAGGGGAATGTCTCGGGTCGTCGGCGGCATACCTTTTGCATACCATTTACGTATTCCTGCCAATATCCTGTGAACGCTAATTACTCGTGCGCTTTTGTTAATGCGTCTACTTTCTGGGATAATGTACCCCAATGTGCCGTTTAGACAAATGAGCGTGGTCATGGTACTTAGCTACCCCTCAAAAATGAATGAGTCGTCATTCACGGAAGGTGGACCGCTAAGAATAAGAAATGAAACCCTAACATCAGTGCTCCACGAGCGCAGAGCCACGTCGCTCAGCCGCTTTCCATCCCGACCGAAAAGCGACGGGCGACAACAGGCACCTCATCTCTTCCCCCTAACGGGCAGAGGCATTTCGCGGGACCACATCGACCTCCACGATCAGACCGATAAAAGCGTCTCTCTCGCGTTCCCCTCCCCCCGTGTCCTCCGGACAGTGCTCCACGACGTGATCCTCGCCATGCTGGAGGAGACCACGATGGACGAGTACATGAAGCCCCGCGCCCCCCACAGCAAGCCCGTGTTGAAGGCCCTCTTCACGCGGCTGGCCAACTCCTCCATCATGAAGCTCAACGAAAACAGCATGAATAAGGTGATTCGAGGGACTTTTCTTCATCTTCGAGCCGGTCGCGTTGCCATGCGATGCAGGAAGATGTCTTCCAATGTCTGGCGATGTATATGTTAATATTTTATGCATTAATTATTTATATATTTGTTCATCATTCGCTTATTGGCCCAGTAATACTTCCTTGATTTTACCTCCCAATTTTTTGGCGAAGAAATTAATGCGAGGTTGAAGTCAATTTTTAACAAGGAGAAAGAGGGACAGGTCGTAGCTCAACCAATTGCACAGACGCTGCAATTCACCTGAAAAAAAAACCTAAACAACTTTATCAAAATAACTCGAAACAAGCCCAAAGAATATAACATATTTCAATGCTGATGTACCCTGTCGAACAGGAACCGTCTTTGTCCCTCTCTTATTTAGCTATTCGTAATGTCTTAATTTTTTTGTTACGCGGATGAGAGGAATGCATCGGAACAAAAATTATATTTCATTAATAAATCGAGTGCTTAGAATGGTGCCGCACGTGACGCATGGGAAGCTATACGTGCCTTCAGTCTCCACAGTTCTTAATCAGTAAAGACCAAAACTAGTCATAAGTTTTAAAATAAAATCGAGAAGATCCGAAGCCAGACAAAAATTGTGTTGCTTTGTTCGCAGCTGTACGACTTGATGACGATGGTCGTGACGTACCAGATGAGCCAGTGCACGTTCGGGACCGAAATGCTCTGGGTGACGGTCAATCACATCCGAGGCATTCGGGAGTGCGTTTCGCTTCCGGCGGTTGCGAAGGTCGTGGATCAGGCTCATCATAAGTTCATCCAGGTGAGGGTGCACTCTCAAAGCGATCGAGAACGTTGTCAGAAGATATGATTTCGTGTGGCCCTGTGGGCTGAAAGAAGGAAAATTTGCCCTCGTGCTTCCTATGGATGCATCGAGGCTTTTTTTCGCATCTTTTTCCACCATTCCTCTTCACGATCGATCGGTTGCAGCTAAAAAAAGATTTCCTCTTAAATTCTAAATGACTCATTACAACTACGACAGTCGGAAAAACGCAGACGCAAATGAAAAAATACCCAAAATACCCTTCACCGAGAGTGAAAATGCCCTCGTCGAAGGTGTACACTCGGAAGAGCCAGTGGGAGCTGGAGCTGATCCGAAAGAACGTCCTCAACTACTTCCAAGACCTCAAGATTCGAGTGTCCATCTTCCTGAAGGAGGGGAAGCAGCTGTCCAACGGCCAGTTCGTGCATTCCGCGTCCGGACTTCCTCCCGGTGGGTCCATCGATCCCGCTCTCGGTCAGGTCCCATGATGTAGGGTCGCTGCGCGATTTCTTGGGGGTGGGGGGCTATTATCGCCGTTGATGCGATGGGGTAGGATGAGATCTGAAAGGTTGGGACGCGATCTTCGCAGCCCCCCCCTCCCCCCCCCCCAAAAAAAAAGACAATAACAATAATAGATAATAATGATGAAAATAATCATAATAAATAAATAAATATAGATAGATATTTCTTTAAAGGATTTGCTTGATGTTCCTTAGTATAATAATAATGTGGCCTTTGAGACCTTACCTTATTTGAATAAAATAAACGTAATATAAAAAAGTATATGGACCAAAGCGCGAGTCTCCTGATAAAAAGAGAGATTGGAGAATCGACCAGGGGACTCGCGAGAAGGAAACGGAAAGTCTACTCCAGCCTACAGATATATTTCAATTGAAAACGTCAGCTGTGGCTGTTTTGTTTTGAAGTATGCTGCAGAAAATTTACCTCGACCTTTAACGTTGAGTACGATGTCAATCTTATCCAAGACTAATTCCGTTTCCGGGGTGGGTGGCGTTCTTTCAAGGTTGCCGAGTTCCTTCAAAGAGGTTCTGTAGGCACTGGCATGCGCGATGAGATTGGGATCATTCTTTCAGATTTGGTGAAAGCGTAGCCGATGTAGGCTTTCGATATGAACTCGATTCCAAAGCCATAGGTGAGGGGAAGTACGTTCATCCGGATTGCTAAATTCCCCGCTAGGTGTGGAGACTCCCGGTGTGATCAGGTGCTACGAGAAGGGGGTCCTCACAGGCATCGAGGAGTTCAAAGGACCGGGCATCCCCGAAAAAGGAGACGAAACCCTGAGAATCCCGCTGGGGAGCCTCCTCCTCGACGACGAGCCTGGAACCGAGCTTGGACTCGACATGTAGGTCGAACTCACTCTTCGCTGTCCGCCTCATGGGAACGAATGCATTCGTCTCTTGGCGTTAAGGCATTTCGTCTGACGCTCGGGTGACGTCAGCACTGACGAGCCGCCTGATTGGTCGCTTCCCCGCATTGAGTTCCAGGGGAACCAATCCGGTTTCTGATTCCTTGGTTACTCGGGCGAACCTTCTCGGCATCCGTACCCACCTGTTGCACGCGTAACGCACATTGAGATACACGTGAAACACCCATCGACAGCACAGGTTTTAGTATGTACATTATAACCGGGCTATTTTAATTTCAGTCATCCCCGGTTGTCCCTCTTGAACGCTTAAAGAAAAGTGATTGATAAGTCGTGCAATACTAACTCTGAAGCCCCTCACTGAGTTGCTCGTTGAAAGCCTGGAAAGTCCACTCTCGGGTAGGTGTGGCGAAACTTCCAGTGGCGGCTCGTGATACTCAGCAGTAATGGATCGTCAATGGAGCCAGTGTAGGCCCGGGCCAACCCTACCTCTATTAAGAATACACTACTGCTGAATATTACGAGCCGCCCATGGAAACTTCATCGGGGAAAGTGGATCGTGGGGCTTGAAAGAAGAAAAAAGTACGTCTCCCCACAGATACACGAAGCAGGAGAAAGCGGACGAGAACGAGCGGGCCCCGGACGCCACATCCCCGAACGCACCCACGGACGCCCCCCCGGAGCTCCCAGACGATCTGGCTGGGAAGGAGCTGGACGTCTTGGCGCAGCTCCTCGGCAAGAGAGAATCCGGGAAGGAGAAAGTTCCGGAGTTCCGGCTCAGTCTCTTCGCGACGGATTTGGAAGAAAGGTCAGTCGTGAAAGATGTCATGGGTGGTCCCAGTAATGAGAATCACAGGTGCAAATGTTTCTCTCACGAGAAAGAAAACAATGTTTCCACCAGAAGTAAACCAAGAGCGAATATGAGCAGTGGCGAATCCAGGACAGACACTTTTTGTTAGCCCTCGTCCTGTTGCTCCATTTTTACTTTTATCGGTTGACTGATACGTCAGTTTGGGTACAAAAAAATAAAATCTGCTACACTAATGGGGAAGCGAGTAGCAAAAGTTATAAGTTTTACCAGCGGTTGCCAGGTAACAATCAACTTAATAATCCTTCTATGTCTGGTCAGAGAACAACGATGGAAGAAGCCTAATATCGAGACATGAACGTCATGGAATATCATTTTGCGTGAATTTCATAGTTCAGAAGATCTCATACTGCGCATCGGTAAAATAAGAAAAATTATGTATTGATCATGAGCTAAGCGGTTTAGCTCTCGTTCTGCGAAATTTCCAACTTGCTTTAAGTTTTTTGTCCTCATCTGCCACGCGGCGTCAGCGTTTAATAGACACCCCTGTCCCGTTAAAAAAGAGCGTGTTCATTTTTATCCCCGTCACCTTTAAAAGCGAACCAGTGAGGAACCAGACCCCACCCTAAACCTCTTAGGGAATACGTCCGAGAATTGGCGGAAGTCCGTCGGCAGGAGGAAGACCACCGGTCGGCCCGCACCAGGGACGCGGAGCTGCAGAGGGTCATCGACGAGATCAGCGTGTCGGAGGAGCCGAGCGCCGGCGTCTCCACGCGGGAGGAGTTCCTTCAGGTCTTGGACCTACAGGAATGAGCGGGGACGACGATCCGCGAGAGAATGAATCCCCGGAGAAGCGCTGCACTCACCCCTCGGTCATCTAAGGGAAATAAATCGGCAGGAAAAAAATTCATCCGAAGTTTCACTCGAGCGCACGTTCATCGCGAGAGTCCGGGACCGGTGTGACGTCGGTACGGCTCCGTCGTTCGATCCATGGAACCGATCGCATTGCGCAACCATCGACGACGTCGCGAGAAGACTGACATCTTGCAGACTGACTTTTCTCTGAGAATCTGCAGTCGACGCGTGACAGGAGAAGATAACCTGGGAACGAGCTCGATCGCACATTATATTTTTAATGTTTTGGCTGGGTGGAATCACGTGAGTCACGAGGACTGCCGCCGCCCCGTGCTGACGTATAGATTTCTCGAACCTTTTTTTTTTCTTTCCTTAGGGATGACTCTCATCTACTGAAGATTGCCTCCATGAACTTTGCCATGGACAAGTTACGACTCGAGAAGTTCTAGAAAAATATCCCATGTTCCTTGACCGCGGGAATGATGCCTCGCAAAATCTAAATTTAAAAAAAGTAACAACAGAAGCGTAGACAGAAGATGGATTATAGCGTATTGCGATTGCGATAGTGGAACCGTTTCGAGTTATTCATGCGGTTGGTCCTAATTTTCACTTTATTGTCTTTGTTGTCTTATCCCTATTTAGACAACCTTTTTATAGCGAGACTCGCGATGCAATTCACCCTTTCCAATACGGATTCCGACCTTCACGCCTCCGTTCACGCTCACGCTGGGACTGCGAAATGGGAACTCTCCCTTCGTTCCCCGCAGTCCGCCGCATTCCATCCGCGGTCGCGCCGCATTTCATCCGCAGTCGCTCGGTGGCTTTTGCTGTGAGATCGTGGAAAAGGCCTCCCGGAAATAAGACCCTCAGAATAGGAATTGGAATATCTTGTGTTACTTGGGTTCTAATCCCCGAAACCCCCGCTCCCTCCCTTCACTACATCACTGCCCACCAGGGTCAGACTGGCCCACCGGGATATTTCTTGGGAGCCCCCAGACCCGATTTAAAAAATTATAATTGGAATCATAGTGAACCTTAATTGAATTAATGACAATTATGACCATGGAATATTGATCCCATGAGCACTGCCAAATCGTGTAAAGCTATAAAAATGATTAATAGCTATGGTGCAGATATAATAAAATTCACCTTGTTCTAGGGCAGGGGTGTCCAACTCCATTTGGCGGGGATCAAATGATTTGGTTCAGGTGTGTTTGGGAGCCTCACTAACGAATCTCACACCACATTTTTTATGCGAACAAGTGTAATTTGCAGCAATTTTCCGAAATCAGCTGTTAAAGAGGAATTTGCAGGCCGGAGAAAATGAATTGGCGGGTCGGATCCGGCCCGCGGGCCGCCAGTTGGACACTTCTGTTCTAGGGGCTCTAATTTATTCTTGAGTATTTCCTTGGGGGCCCCTAGGCCGTCAGTCCGACCCTGAGCCCCACTCCAATCACTAACACCCTCCCGCTCACAGATGCAGTTTCATCTCCAAGCTCTCCTTCCTTCGGGTCTAAAATGATTACATGTGGAAGGGAGGGATGCTCAGCTAGCTTTCCATCGCCACCATCTTTGAATTCATCTCATCCTCCTTCCATGCCATTCATCTCCGGCAAGCGAAGCACTAATGTATGTAGGAATTATGAGGGGAGGGGGGAGGGGGGGGGGGGGGGGGGGGGGGGATAATGTATGTAGGAATTATGAGGGGGGGGGGGGGGGGGGGGGGGGGGGGACGATCCGCAGCCGCAGATATTCCTCTTCGGGCCTTCATCTTCCATGCCTACACCGCTGCTCACGATGGACTCAACTCTCAACTAAAAATGACTTTTACGACTCATTGTTGAATCTCATCCTGCTTCCCGTTCAGATCGTCACGACACTTAGGTGAAAGCGTTCTATAGAATGCCTATTTAGTAATTCCTTGGTGTAATTCTTCATTATTTCCACTAACATTTTAGAAAAACGGTATCTACCGGATGAGGCAAAAACAATGCGCCGCCTTGAAACTCTAACGTTCAAGAGACAACGACAGCACAAAAGTCTCTTTTTTTATAAAATGACTTCTATCGATCTTCTAATCATCCTCTGCAAATGGATGGGTTGAGCAAGAATTTCGTTTGAATTTCCTACCAAGGAAAGGAAGAGAGGGAGCGGTCGACCAAAATTCCCAGTAGCAAATCGCCTGGGACAAAGGGCTGAGTCAGAGATCTAATATGTTAATTCTCGGGGGCTGATAGAAGAAAGCCTGAAAAAGAATTGTGGGTTGTCGCTGCGGTGCGAGCGCTGAAGTGAACAATAATCTCCGTGTAATTTCTTCGTGAAACATGTTCGAGGGGATCGTGGAAGACCTGACCGACGAGCGGAAAGCATAGGCGTGATGGATCGTACATTTTCATGTAATTCTGCCGTCGTGTCTATGTTGCTTGTGTCCGTTGCGAGGATTTTCGTGCTAAGGACATTGGTTTCTGCGTTTTTCCTTGTTTGCTGTCGGAACATTCCCAAGTAACACAAGATATTCCTGCAACGTTTAGGAAATGTTGATGAACAATGTTGCATCTATGTGTAAATGTCCAAAACGTCAACGTTGCTCAAATGTTGCGAAGGAACATTGCATTTACGTTGCAAATCGCTACTTATTCATTACATATACGTTGCAGGTACGTTTCAGGATTTATGTTGCTGCAATATTGATTAAAAACTTCGCTTCACGGATACCCAATCTGGGCCTATATTGGCATTACGGAAAAGCGTAGGCTTCACTGGTCCTGAACTGGACCGATATTCGACCAATATTGAATTATTTATTTCATCCTTTCGTGCCATATACTTTACCTCTCTACTCAGACATTCTCATCAACAGGACGAAGCCTGCACTGGTTTTACCCTCTACCCATGAATAACACAGTGTTTGTATCATGTACAGGCAAGAGACAGTACATTGTTGGAGGTGATCTTCCCCTGGGTGTGCTAAATTGCACAATACAGGAAAAGGTCCGACCGCAATGTTCTATGGAGTGTCCACGAGATCAATCCTTCGTTTCCTCAGCTAGTACCCAGAATGAGGATATGAAGTATTCAGATCGCAGACTCTCTACCATCGTTTTTATTGTCCTGTAGGTTGAATTCGACGAGTTCTTGGAAAGGGTTCTTTTTGGGAATATGAGCTTTTTTATCTTGACCCCATTAATCTGTCTGGAAAATGAAGATAACAGGTGATGAAGTGTCCGTGTTCATTGATTCCTATAATGAGACAATGTGAGACATATGGTAAGGTACTAGACATTCCTGTGCGGGACTATTCCAAGGAAAGGGAGAAGGGTACTTGTGTGTACTGTGAGAAAGCGAGACTTACGTCTCCATCTCGTGGCAAGGAGGACAACTTTACAATTCTCTAAAACTTCTAAGTCCATGTTGTATCAGAATGTTGTCGCTACGTTGTCGATGTCAAGAGTGTCAACATTCTCTCAATGTTGATAGCTAATGTTGCAATGACATTCGTAGAAGTGTCGCAGCAACATTCCAAGTGAAAACATTAAAGCAATGTTTTCTCAATGTTGTACAGCAACTTGGAACATAGAGCAACATNGATGCAAGGATTTGGGGTTTAAAAGTTTCATTCAATTCAGTATGGATAAATATGGATAAATGCATAAAAATTTGATATTTAAATGAGTAAATAGAACTAAATGGAGTTTTCAAGTAAATAGAAGTTGAGGCAAAAAAATAAGTATTTCTCGAAAATACAACTTATAACAAAGCAGCACCTAGAATCGATGCGTTTACCGGCCCCGACTCCAAGTAGTGGCAGTTTCCGTTACTAAGAGAGGTGGAAGTGTGTGGATGTGGTAGGAATAAGCAGTTTTCGATCGCTGCTCATTTAAAAAAAAAAAGGGACTTCCCAGTTTAGAGTAGCTTGACCACGAAATTGATGGCCAGATAAAGGGTTAACCATACAGAAATGTTGGATCTTTATCAATGCGGCCCATTCCAGGTTGACTAACGTTACTAGAGCGGCCCCCTCAAAGTGGAGCAAGTGTCCATGAGGTCCTCGCCCCAAAAAGTTTGAGGACCACTGATCTAGATACTGTATTATGTATATATATATATTTTTCTATATATAGAAGGACCTTTGGCATTAAAAATACTTAGGTGCGCTCTATGGGTGTCAATATGGTCACTCTCAATTCATGCATCTTCCTTGCAATAATATCGGGCTTGTGATCTTGAAAGCTGAAACGTTGTGTCATTCATTGTTGGAGGCATGCGAAGGTATGACATTTCTGAATCCTGACTACCTGGTGGAGCATACTCTCATCTGCAGTCTCAAATTAGGTGTGGAAAGTGTCAGAGCCAGATTCTAGCACAGTATTTGTGTCCAGATACATTCTCAGTTCTGCATCGAACCATCTCACCAAACATTGGCTGCCACGATATTGGCTCTTATATTTCTTGTCTGATATGGTCATAAAAAAACATTCATGCATAAGGATGACACATGAGGGTTTATTCCACTGCACATGTCATTCATCCACTCATTCAGAATGATAAGAATGGTCGCTAGCGAAGTTGAATCAGGAATTTCTCATCTCATCTTAGCATTGTCTCGGCAAGCAAGGCACCACCACGGAATCCAACTTTCACTTCTCCAGGTTTGAACTTTGTAGGATGGAATCAAGGGGGGGGGGGGGGTAATCAACTGATCATGAAGCAAGGGCAGAAGTGAACCAAACAATGAATGCAGAAGCAGCATCAGCACTGTCACCTTGTGATGAGATAGAAGACCCTCATCCCAACAACTGAATTTTACACTTCAATTTCAATTCAATCAAATATAAATACCTGTAGTCACAGGAAAAAAAGGTTCACCACTGGCCAGCAGTTTCTGCAATGACCAGTGCAGACAATAAATATCAGAACGAATCTCATACTAGAGAGATCCTCAACAATCCTTAATGAACATCAGCAAAGTAATCCTCTGGAGAGCTCAAGGATTGGCACTGGTTCTCCAGACAACAAATTTACACCCTTCTGGACAACAGAAGAGAAATCATGGGAAGAATTTCTTCAAAACATTCAGCCACTGGGAGTTCGTTTTAATTGAAATAATGACTGTCCATTGTAGAGACCTGATGAGTAATACAAATAACCCCTACATCAAGAGATGAGAATTTCATAACATACATGAAAGCCCAAAGGGGTTCATATTAATGTAATGAATAAGGTGTTACCTCCCTTTCCACTTTCCCTTCACTTTCAATTCTCTTTTTTCTCAGCATGCTATAAAAATAAAGATGAGACCTATATTTGAAAGCCTCAATCTATCATAGAGAACATGTTTTGCATCTCAAACAGTCAGAGATGAGGAAACATGTGCAATGTATGCTTTCATTATGTCCTCCAAGATATTTTTGCCAAGAAGGATGATTCTATAAAGCAAATACTGAAAATGAATCTTAACAAAAAAGGGATGGGTGACTGGTATGGGAGGAACGATAAAAAAAAGCTTATTCAGAAACAGTCCCATCAGGATATTTAAGATGAAGATGGCAGATCAGAAGCTGTGGTAGGAATTTCCACTTCGCATGATACAGCGGTATCTTCACAAATCTCTTGCTTACACTCTTCATCACTGGCAACCAAAGTTCCACCTGCTGCCATGTACATCACATTGTACACAGCTCCCTGGGCATCCATCAAGCATTCCAAAACACCCTTGACATTTATGTCATCACCTAGTGGAACAGCAAAAGATGTCCATACAGTAACCAAGATGGAAGCACATATAACCTTGCTACAATGCTGGTTCAGCATTTAAGCAGTGAGCTTCTGCTAAACCAGGATTGAATGGAAGCAGCATAGGAAACAGAGAGGAAAATATCATGATGTTGTCATTTACATAATTTTATCTCAAGCACACAGTAAGATGTGTTGAGGTTATTCCTTAAAGAATTTATGTTCTACTCCTTAACTGGGGCTTCAAAACTTGCAATAATGCTAAGTAATGCAGCACAACTGGTAGCACCAATGATACAGCCACAAAGATAAGTAATAAATAAATTTAATAATAATAATAAATAAATTATAATAAATTCGATTTGAAATATCCATAACCCCACAAAACTACCTAACAGCATCACAAAAAAATCTCATAAGATGGAGCTACAGCATAAGTGTAACCATTAGAAAGACAACCCCAAATAGAGTCAAATGTCTCTACTTATTGGACAGACTGCAATCAGGATTTAAAAAAATTTTGTCTGGACTTGTATGCTCATTCAGGGGTTACTAACATTAAAGCAGTCTATTCCCTAGCATTTCCAGTCCACATCTTCATTTTAAATTTCAACAAAAGATGCCAAATTGCACAGAAGTAGTTGAATGAAACAAGTCTTACTTTAGAACAGCCAAACACAAAACAAACAAAGTGAGGCCAAGAAAAGAAGTCAGATTTAAATGAAACACCAACCTTGTTCCTGTTCTGAGAGAGCATTGGAAGAGCTAGAACTTTGAGGAGAGAGACAAGAAATAGAACCCTGGTCTGGATTCCCCTCTGCCACTCTCCCATTATGCATGGAAGACATGGGGGTCACATGGACACCGCCAGGCTTCTGCTGACTTCCCATGCCAACTACAGCCTCAGGATCCACTTCCAGCTCCAATTCTTCACCCCATGTGCATTCCTCCTCTGCTTCCTTGATCTTCATCTCCATTTGTTGGCGCCTACTTCTAGAACAAAGGAACCCTGTCATAACACCGTTTGGGGGGGTCATGAGAGCCTCCAAAGAAAACTGAAGCCAGTGAAGCATCTTAAACTTGCAATGATATACCAGAGTCATTTTTTCAGTTTTGGATACACCTGTAGATGCCCAATATAATGAGACCACAAATGTACACTACAACAAAATCAAGTCAGGGGTCAAAGGTCATGGGAATGTCTCAAAATGACCAAATTTTGATATCTGTAACTACTGTTTGCAAGAAGATATCAAAGTGATTTTAAATGCTGCATAAGGATAACAGTGGTATCCATTAAAAGCATGACAGAAGAGTTATGATGCTTTTTTTGTCACTGTGGTCTATAAGAGTTGGAACTTTCCAAAATAGGTATTCATGTTCCATTAACACCTGACCTGGGTTCATGGCAGCATGCTGTCATGGCCTCATCACAAGTGCATTGGATGTCTACAGAAGTATTCAAAACAGAAATGAAAACTTTGGCATCATTTTTCAAACTAAAGATAGACAAAAAAAAAGTGACCTATCAAGAATTTCTTTTTCATTTCACCAACTGGTGAAAATAGCTGAAAGGAACATCTCCAAGTTCAATCAAAATCTGCGTTGGTCCATGATCAACCCGTCAGGCACTTTTTTTGCACATGCTTTTGATAAGCAACTAAGTGCAATAGATAATCCTGTACTCAGTCTTCAATGACATGAGGAACATATCCAATCAGAGACAAATGATGGAAAGACAATCCAGTTGGTCACCTATCATCTCAACCCTCTATGATAATGCATGCAAACATTCATTCATTTGATCACACATTGATAGGTGCCATGATTTCATAACTGAACATTTTCTAACAAAAATCTATCATTACCAATTTCAGGGATAGAGTTACTTTTGTTGCATTTTATATTAAATAGTTTCTCAGAATTTTATAAGTACAAACACCATTAGGGAAAAATATTGAACTTATCAATGACCACTTTTAAACTAAGCTCTTATTTTCCCATTTTGCTAGTCCCACCACTTTGCCAAATTTCATCACTAAACATCTCATAGTTTAAGTTATTTTTTGGAACATCCATCCATCCATCCTAACAGAAAAAAAAACCAATGTTTCTGCTTTTTACTGAATCTGGGGGTAGTAAAACTTATATATAAAAATCCACTGCCCAGTCTTACTTCCCTTTTACAAGAATAGATTCTGAATAACAAAAGAGGACTCCAGGAAGGCTTCAAGCTCACTTATGGGCAATGAGATCAGCATCTTCATCCATCTCAACTTGTCCATCTGAGCCATTTGAGGCAGGGCCAGATAACTGTTCCAGTCGGCGTTTCAGGTATCGTTGTTCTTTCCAGAGTTGATCTTTGTACAAACGACTGCGTCTCTCACGTTCCTCCAGGTTCTGGAAGGTGAGGCAATAATTTATTTTTCATGATACAATGATTAACCCTCTCCATGGTATGAGAAATTTCATTTCATACTTTTATAAATGCTTTAGCACGATTCAGGAGTCCAAGTGTTGTGTGACGAGATGCTTCGGGTCCAAGAGGAACCATGTCCTTGAGCATCTCCAGACATGTCCGAAGGTGAGCTCGTCTGAAATTACACATAATGTATAAAGCATATTAAGCATCGCCAAATGTGGTGATATCCTCAAAGAATAGAGAAAGCTACAAGCATTTCTTTGTGTGTCTCAACATCATGGAATAATAACAGATCTGATGTAAGCACTCCAATTTTGCATCAAACAAGAGGCAGATTAGCAGGGAACTATTTGCCATAAAAAATAAATTCCCTCTCAAGAAGGCAACTTAGTCCAGGAACTGGCTTTTTTTTTTTGTTAGGATGGATGGATGGATGTTCCAAAAAATAACTTAAACTATGAGATGTTTAGTGATGAAATTTGGCAAAGTGGTGGGACTAGCATTTTTTTTTTTTTTTTTTTTTTTTTTTTTTTTTACATACAATTCAGATACAATGCTTTTTCTAGGATATTAATCAAGTCTACAAATTCACAACAATTGAAATGTCTTTAAGGCAACTACCCAAGTCTTCCATAAGCCTGAAAGTCTAAATGTGCTTTCTACTTGACTGTAGTCATCTAAATTTTCTCCACAAGCAGGCCACATTGGAAAAGTGTATGCTCACTGTTGCCAGCTTTTCCCAGTTTGACTCAAAATGTATGTCATCCCACGAAATGTCTTGGTCATTTGAAACTGTTCAGACTAGTATATTGGTTCAACGAGAATCAGCTAATGGCAGAAAGAAACTACTCCCACAAGTTTAACATTTTCCAATACTACAGTGATGAGTTCCTACCTTCATATTTCCATGAAGAAGCAACAAATATAAAGCTAGACAGAAACAAGTATAGTACTATGTGGCAAGTATAGTATGATGTGCCCAAAACAAAATGAGATAAACAAACTTCCAATAACAATCAATGCACATGATGACAATGAATATTATACTTCCAGAGCACTTTTTAATGCACCAGGAAACCACATACCAGCACAAAATAGTGAATACTATAGTATATAAGATTCAATTGAGAGAAAACTCATATTATCATCTTTATCTGCCTTATTTCTTAACTGTAGCATGAAAATGAATGATAGCTCAAAAGAGAAAATTTAGCATTCCGACATTATTAAGTTAGAGGATAAGCAGAGATGTGTCTAATACCACTTGTGTTCATTTTTTTATGCAATCAAGCCATGGTGTGAATTTTTAATATAAATGAGAGACTGAAAACCAGATGCAGGATGGGGAGCATCAACAAAATGCTAGCAAAAATATAAAAAGTTAAATGATTTGGTAAATTGGTTGGAAAGTACTTAGTTTACACTGAAACCTTCAGCAAGGTCTGTGCAAGTTACAATAAAATTTGCAAAAACCATTTAAGGCTCAGTAGATGTATGCTGCCAATTTTATACAAGTACAAGCATGACCCATGATTGCAAAATTTTGTCATAGGTACATAGGAGTCTCCTCTTTTTTTCACCTTTTCAACCAACATGGAGTCACATTGAGTCTCTCACAATTCCAATTACAACCCACGTGAAAATTTCATATAAGACCATATATGAAATGGCCATATATTTAACCAGTCCAACATATAAGGGGCACATATGACCATATAGTGCAATACATATATGAACATATGTGAAACATGTATGGGGTTTGACACAAGTAGTGAGATTACCCGAAACATGTCTGTATCCAAAAAGGGTCCATAATCCATCAAATACTGTATGATCATTCATATGCAAGTAACTTCACCATACTTAACTTGCAATCAACTCATTTTTAACTGTTCATAGACGACAATCAATTACTCAAAGAATGCATGTTTCATGGTGTTCAACATATGCACCCTTGTTAATGAAGGTGAAAGTTTCAATTATAGACTTGAACTTTCACCAGTATTTTCATCAGTAATGCTATTTCAAGACAAAACTTGGCTTGCTCATGTAGGAGGACTTCATTTTGACTGACAACTCAGAAGATAGATGGGAACAGAAACTGTATTTCTTTCTGAAATTATCCAATGAAGAAATTGTTCAATGAAGGCAAGGCACAGCATGGCATGGCATGGCATGTGCCCCCACATTACAAAAAAAAAAACATTAATACGAAGGAGAAGATACATGATAACAATGTCCCAGAGTTCCCATGCCCCCCCCCTCCTCCCACACTTTTTTAATCCACGATACACTTATGCTACCTAAAGAGGGTAGGGCCTTGTTTGAAATCCTGACTGGAATTTTTCAGGTGGACAGAAGCTGTATATTCTGACCATTTCCAACTGGCAAAGAGCTAAAAAATTGTAGATACAGGTTGTTTTACAGCTGGAAATTTACCATTATAATTTTATACAGAGGACCCTCCAGTTGAAATTCAGCTGCTTCTGTAGATGGACCTCCAGCAAGAATAACCAACAAAAACATTCTCATTCTACCAGTGTATTGCAATATGAAATCCTGACTGGAATTTTTCAGGTGGACAGAAGCTGTATATTCTGACCATTTCCAGCTGGCAAAGAGCTAAAAAAATGATAGATACAGGTTGCTTTACAGCTGGAAATTTACCATTAGAATTTTATACAGAGGACCCTCCAGTTGAAATTCAGCTGCTTCTGTAGATGGACCTCCTGCAAGAATAACCAACAAAAACATTCTTATTCTACCAGTGTATTGCAATTAGGAACAATCTGGATCTGACTTTACTTTCCAGTTGCTACCCAGTTGGAATGGGTCTGAATTTCCAACTGAGGTTCAGCTGGAAATTATAGCTGTTTCTAGCAAGGACTTTCAACTGGGGGAGTTCAAAATCAAACTTTTGGCAAATTACTTTAAGGAATATGTACTTAATATTTCATGTAAAATACAATAGGTGCATTAAAAATAAGTTGCAGAGGCATCTGAAGGTAAGTTGAAATGCAGCTGAATTCACAGTTGAAATTCAGCTGCTTCTGTAGATGGACCTCCAGCAAGAATAACCAACAAAAACATTCTCATTCTACCAGTGTATTGCAATTAGGAACAATCTGGATCTGACTTTACTTTCCAGCTGCTACCCAGTTGGAATGGGTCTGAATTTCCAACTGAGGTTCAGCTGGAAATTATGGCTGTTTCCAACAAGGACTTTCAGCTGGGGGAGTTCAAAATCAAACTTTTGGCAAGTTACTTTAAGGGTTATGTACTTAATATTTCATGTAAAATACAATAGGTGCATTAAAAATAAGTTGCAGAGGCATCTGAAGGTCAATTGCCCTCATGTGTAAAAACCTCATGCAGTGGCATATTTTCTAGGGAGGGGGCAGGGGAGTGCAGCTGCCCCCCTCCTGGCATCCCCGGGACAGGGCTTGGTGCCTCCACTCTGCTGCCCTGTCCCCCCTGACTCTTCAACCAAAATACACCACAGACCTCATGCTATGTTTTACTTACAACCATGAGACTTGTCTATGTATATTCACTACATATCAGGCATGATGCCATTTGCCCATCACACATAATATTGCAATGCAGGTAAAATATATGATGCACCATACAATTGTTAATATATGAATACATATATGGTTGTATATGCAAATATATGATCATACATGACCATACAGAATCATACACTCTGTCATACATGGAATTTTCATGTGGGAATTCCGTCTAGTTTCAGTGTACCTTTCTCTCCTCACATCAACACAACAAACATAAACAAAATTCCCTGAGAAGATGTAGACCCAAGTCTTCAATCTTCATTCCATTTATCCTTTAGGAGATACATCCCCTCGAAATGTTAAAACTCATCTCCTAACCATTGAAAGTGGTGCAGTTTACAGACTCTCATGAGTAGAACCATGGGGTAGGGATATAACATTATATTGATGTTGGATATCAGTAAATCATTTATAAATCAGTGCATCAACTGATATGGCACTCAAGATATATTGCTCCTCTGATAAATAGATGTTGATGAGACATGTCATTCATCATTAATCAGAGTCTGGATTAAAGAATGAACTAATGCAGTTAATACCTCTTTCACATTCCACAATCCTAGCTTCACATTTTCAAGTGAAATTTTTGGTGCTTCTCTAGCAATGACTATCAAATACCATGAAATAATAAATCAATCTATCAGCAAACAGGTTGATGAAATTGTCAACATCATGAGTTCTGTGTTTTTCTTTTTTGTGATGAAGTAGGTTTGTTCAGGGAGATAAATCCTTCAAAATTAGTAATACCACAAAAGCGACACCTTAAACAGAGAGAATCTCAAAATATTGTGTCTGGTTGGTTGCGAGAAATGAGAATCAGAATTCAAAATATGCAGTAACTTGAAATTAGAGGAAAGATAATTTTAGAACTTATATGCAATTAAATTACCCTAATCTATATCTTTGATTTCATTGATTGAAACTAGCATGAGATACAAGGATCCAGGAGACTGGAATACTAGGAAATAAGTGACTGCTGCAATAGCCTCTGTTTAACCTTGAAGGAGGAAGATTCAATGTATTATGCAAATACATAAGCCATACTCCTACACATCCCTCACAGCCTGAAAATGCCATGTATGGCAACAACACTAACAAGTTACATTTAAAAGGGCCATTCAATTCCATTGATACTTCAATACAGAAGCCTTCACATCACCTCACAACCCTAAACCCCATTCTTTTATCCTAAGTCATTATCATATCCTTTCTTTTCCACAAATATCCATGTTAAAAATTGAAGGCTTCAATTAATCTGTTCCAAGAATGGCTTCTTCTTGAAAAATTGCATGAGAACTCACCTGTTCTTCTCCAATTCATTATGTGCTGAGCGATTTCCTTTCACCCTACGTGGCCTGCGACTTTTTGTTCCCTGGTTTTCTGTCTCCATCGGCATAGAGCTAGCATAACCATGCTCCGCTTCTGCTTGAAAGAAAGTCAACAGGTTAGGCCTAGTAAAACGTGCAGTGCAAGTAACAGACCTAGATCCAGACCCAGCCTGAGGTTCAACATCAGGGCTGACGTACCGGAAATTTCCTAACTTACGTCTCAAAAATGAGGGATCGTTTCTCAGTTGAAAATAAAACTCTTCCATTGCTTCTCTCGACCGGGAATTCATGTCTTCGGTTTCAATGCAAACGGTAGTGTCCTCATTCGTATCCAAGAATTCAGCCGCTTCCAGTAGTGCTGCAATGCTCATTGCTACCAACACCAAGATCACAGGAATTTGTACTTCGTGAACCTACCCCTACACTCCGCTGAAAAAATAACGTCAAATAACTAGAAGCGGTTCTAGCTCCAGGATGAAATCACGGGGCGTCACAAGCCTGCGTCCATCTTGGGAATTGATCATGGCAGATTGTAAGGAGGCATGTGATTGGTCGAAGTAGACTATGTGAGGAGTTTTGGACCAATGGGCGGTCTATGTTTGCACATCCTTTCGGGGTCACATGGTCCCCATGCCTGAACCAGGGAGCGCACTGGCCCTTGCCGCTCGCTGACAACCTGGCACCCATGCCCCAGCCCGAAGAGCCCAGGCGCAGGCAGCTGCTGATGACCAAGGCGCGAGCATTGGACCGTCGGCGCCAGCGAGACAAGGGCCTGGGGCGGCCTCGCGACTATGGGGACAGATTGGTGCTGCGTTGGCGGGGTGCACGATCGACGAACTGCGATAGAGGGTAGTCTATAATCGATCTGTTGTGTGTGATGAATCTGGGATGGTGTTCGGTCACAGATCATCTTTTCAAGTGCTCGAAAGGAAGCTGAAGTTTCGATTGAGATTGGCAATGCAAGCCGTGAATTAACTGGGGCCTTCCACCGTGCGTTCACGTGTCTTTGTGTACAGCTAAATTTAGACTCACCACGTGCGCGACTGCGTGCAACGACGAGTGCAGCCGCCGCAGTGGTGACCGAGAATTGCGGTCCTTCTGTGTTTTTTCCGCTAGTTACTGAATTCCACGTGGCATTACAAGGTCGCGACGTTTGAATTGATTTGGATCGCGCTAAGCAGAGCTAACGGCGACGACACGTGGCGTAGTGCTACCCTATGATGTTAAAACTGCGATTTCTTATTTATTTATTTACATTTTAAATCAAATGCCAGGCACGACGATATGTTGAAAAAATTTTTTTAGGGGGCTGGAGTCTGAAACATTTTCTCTACATTTCGGATTGCAGAGCCACACCCCCCGCTTGGTGTATTTTGGCTCGTGATCCAGGGAGGACATGGTAGCGAAAAATCAGCTGCCAAGACCGGTGGTGGGAAAGGGGGCTGCTGATCGAAGGGAGCTTTCTGTCGACCGCACAGGGCCAAAATAAATTCCTCTACTGTGAGGGACGAAGGTGCATTAAGCAATTTTAGATTATCGATGTGGGGGCGTCCCCCCTTAATCTCCGGCATCTCAAATAAAGAAACAACCTGACTTTTGAGGGGGTTGAGCTTCCCCCGAAAAAGCTTTGGGAGAGTCGCGAAATGAGAAATGAAAATGAATCGCCGCATATATCAAGTTCCTATTGTTGGGAGGACTTTCTCATCTGCTTGAAAATATTTCGCTGCTCAAATTTCCTCTGCTAGGGACTTGAATTTCTCTTCATACATTAGCAACGTATCCCCTGGTCCCCCTTTTTTTTTAAAAACTTTTCTCAATCCACCTCTTTTCCTCCGTGTCATCGAAAGGAAACAGCCATATAGCAGTAGTATATCATTCTGCACTCATTTTCAGGTCTGTTGCGATCATTCTCGTTTTGCCTTCGTGGACTTTCTGCCGCAATCGGTTGGACCGCACTGCGCAGAACCCGTCGCGAGTCATTTTCGCATTCGGCGTGAACCCGGCTTAAGATTCGGCTGCAAGAATATGACTTCGAAGTTCTATTTCTCAAACCACGCAGTATCAATAGCAAGGACGTCACGGTTCCGAAGACTTGAACCATGTAACCGGCCTCACGAGTGGCCAACCACATACGACTCTCTCTATTCCCCAGTCTCGTCCACCCGCACAGTGGCACACCCGAGAAACAAGAAAAGGGTTTTCGGCATTCCACTTCCTCGAGCTGGGTCGCCAGCACTCCCATTTTATCCATGTTTCATGCTGAGCCTTCCCGAAGAGAAACTCACTGAGTACTTGGAAGATTTTCTTATCACTTGGAAAAGTGATAAGAAGATCCATCTAGTACTCAATTTGTGTTCTTCTGATGCGCAACATTTTTCATGGTAACTACACCAAGGGTAGAGAGACATGAAATGGTACCATCGTAACATGGGAGAGTGATGGTATCCAGGGGGAATGCGCCCAGAGGCAGACACAATCTGTCTGCCTGCGTTCAAATAATGGACGTTCAGTAATTTATAATTAAAACATGAATTGCTGGATGATGATAGTTTCTGGTATTAAAAAAAAAGGCGCAGATGGACATTCCTTCCATTCTCCACGCCCTTCGCAACACTGGGAAAGTGAATAGAGAGATCCTTCTCATTCTCAAGATGTCGCTGTATTCGGGCGTGGACTTTCATGGCGTCCTGTCGTTGGTCATATGTAGGCTATGATGCTGCCTCAACGATCGTTGGGTCCCATCAGTGTCCGGATTTCTAGTGACTTCCACATCTTGGCGGGTAGGCCTCAAAGGCTCAGGTCATAGGCTGTTGGGAGCCCTTTTTATCTCTACGCCCATAGCTATTGTTATTGGCCTCGCATTATGCTTGGGGTTTCTGTCTTCATCTTTCGGAAGCCTAGGTGTATTGGCTTAAATTGACTAAGCCTAGGTTAATGGTCGATTTGATGAGTAGGCCCCGAGCCAAATGATTCTGTCGTGCAAGTAAATCAAGGTTTCATTACTATAGTGTATATTGCATCAAATATAAAAACGTTATAGGTGGTTGGCCCTCAGAAAAATGAAAATGTAAAGCATGGGCATTTATCAAATAGTACTTAAATGACGATGTTATTAAATCTGGTTTTTAACATTCGAACCAAAGTCACCAATACTGTAATTGTCACAACATCATATAGTTCCGTTAAAAACGTATTGATAAGGAATCACATTATCAATCATACTCTGAAGTATTGCAGGTGAACATGCTCATCTTGGTAGCCTTTAATTTGCTTGCTCGTGTGGAGCAGTTGCTTTTTTTAGCATCATGGATGGTGACTTCCATGATGTAACTTTTCATTCTCGGCATTTTTATTGTCATCTTAGTTATTGAGGATTATGGTAATTGTGCTGGCTGAGCATAGAGCATGCTACAATTTTTCTGGATCCAAGATGCTCAGGGAGCTCCTGTATCACCAGTGACATGAAATTTGATAGCAACATCTGTATTGTTGATATTAAATTGAATGGATCAGGAATTCATATTTCTATCACCACCTCCTTCTCCCTTCCCTATCACATTAGTTCTTGTCATGCCACCCTATAATGACTTCACCTGTGTTATATTTAAACCCTTCCAGTTTAAGGCTTGATAATGGCCTAATATGGTGGCAATAAGTCATAATTAGGGAGTGTCAATTTTTTTCATTGCTGGAATGCTGGTTAAGTCCATTCACTTTGAGAAGAGCTATTCAGCAAACCAGGTTGACTGGCGATTTCTTGGACCCCTTAAGTCTTAAATTAACTAGGAGATTTCTGACAATTTTTCGTTTCATGCCCAAATGGGGATCATAAACCACTGGTTGAGGACTCATGTCTGATCTATGAGAAAAATCAGAGTTGCCAGAGATGAAGAGAATGCTTCATGTTGAAAAAATTCAATTTTGTTAGTGCATGTTGCGCCGATGTACCCAAACTTGACAAGGTAACTTGAAAAATGTTAAAGTAGAATGCAAAAAAGACAACAGCCTTTACATTTCGTGTCCTCTCTCTTCTGTAGCACAGGTCAGCGTAGAGACAAGAGAGAATATCCCTATTTGGCATCTCCAAACTGTCACCCAACAGGGCAGGCAGAGAAGGTGCTAATTACATGCCCTCTATCCCCTCAGCCACTTATTAATCACAACAAACAGCCTTTGAGAGATTAGAAACTAGCTCTTCTCTATGTGAATGGACTTTATCAAGGGATGTTCTGGCTAGATGTATCAGGAGGAAACTGGCTTGGTACACCTACGTGAATGCACCAGGGATGGAAGGCTGAATGAAGGAAAGGCTCAACTTGCCGTTGTATTAGAAGAAAGGATAAGCCATAGAAGCAAGCATTATAGATGACAGATTTAGGACCCACCATTATTGAGGAGAGGGTGGTAACATAATGAACCATACTAAGTAAGTTCAGGCTGGGCCTAACAAACTCACTGATCAGCTTAAAGTTGTGAATACAATATATATTTCAGAATTTTGATAAGAGGTTACTTTTAATACAAGGAAATCATCTTAGATTTTTCATTTTAAACTGACAAATTACAACCTACTGATTCTTTTTTAATGATACTTCTTTAGATTCTGTCTGATGCAAGGATTTGGGGTTTAAAAGTTTCATTCAATTCAGTATGGATAAATATGGATAAATGCATAAAAATTTGATATTTAAATGAGTAAATAGAACTAAATGGAGTTTTCAAGTAAATAGAAGTTGTAGAAAGAGGGCACAATTTTTAAATTATATTTTTCAGCATCACAAGGAAAACAGAGAAGAAAAGTCAACTCTGCAATGTGGAATACTCATTAGATCAATGAACTTAATTTGATAATCCAGAGTATTCCAATAGCTGAAACTACTGTACTGTACTTCTTTGTACTGTACTTCAGGCTATTTTAAAAATGTGTTGTACCTGTTTTGCATAGTCCTCATTAATTTGAACTCTTAGTCTTTCTTTTGTGCTCTTGTGTTTTTTCTGATCAGCTTCTGATATTTGTCAGTTTTTTTTACATTTGTATCTTTCCATTTTCTTCCCAATCTGTATTTTTCATGCAATTTTAAATATATATATATTTTAAGTTTTCATCTACTCTTTCCCTATGTACTGTTCATAATTTTCTCATTTATTATTATTATTTTATTCATTTTGTTATGGCAGGCATTATGTGCTGCAGTCTTTTAGATGAAGCTGAGATCTATCCTCTTTCCCATGGTCAAATTGGAATGAGCAGATCTGTGGCTTATAGGCCCAATTTACTGTCCAGGTTGACTTGCTTGCACATTTACCAGAATAGAGCAAACTTATTTGCCTGGTTTCTGCATCTCCAGCCTATATTTACTCTTCATTATCTAGGAAATGGTTTGCTTACCTTCCCCCCTGCCCATGCTCTCAGTTCATGGAGAAGTCAAAAGTCAGAACCTTGGTTCTGTGTGGAGGGAAAAGGTGAAGCTGGGGGGACAGGCTGTTAGGAAGTTTCGGAGAATGCATTAAAAGGAAATGATTTGTTTTTTCCAGCAATAAAGAAAATTTATTTAGCCTTTCATAAATTGTTTTTTTCCTTAGGGGGTTAATTAATATCAACTGTATTCCTTAATGTGATGTTTTTCATAATGTATCTTATGGTTCAACAAATTGGGATCAAGGAATTGTATTCTATTATGCAGAGAATTTTATTAAGTGATATTCTAATAATTGGAGTAGGCTGTAATTGTTTTGTCTCCTAATCTAGTTTGTTAATGCATTTGCACAGGATTTTTGAACAAGTGTGTGCTTTTGTATCTTGACTCTGCCTTCCATGAGGGATTCTTTCAGTAATCGTAAACAAGAGAACCTAATCTACCTTAATAGAACTGACTTCCCTGGTTACTGCCTATTACCTTGTAGTTTTCTGAAATTTCTTGCATCAAACCCTTGCTCAAATTTAGTGAAAAAGTTAACATAAACTTGGTAGCATTTCAACTTAACAATTTTATTTATTTATTTAATGAATTTCTCCTAATAAATGTCAAATTCAGGTGTTATTTAGAATGCTTGAGCTGATAATACGAAAGTAAATCCATATGAGACTGAGTTGGCAGAGAGACTGCAAAGGGACACTCATCTGTTATAACCTTTAATTTTGTTTAATCATTTAATCAAGCAGCTACATTTTTTTTGCAGAAGATGTCATGTTCGCTTGTGGTTGAGCATGAAACTCCCAAGGACAAGAATCTAATAGTTCTCGTTGATGAAGAGAGTGGAGAGGCAAGCCTTGACCCTTTCTCCTCAGGCAGATTACTTGGTGAGTGTTGGGTTTTGGTTACCTGATTTCACTTCAGAAACTGTATGCTGATGAATACTAAGACCCAAATACTGAAACCTCCTTTAGTTAACAGTCCTTTAAGAATACATAGACTACTATGGGAGAAAAAGGGTTCTTTAGCTTAAAGGCCCCTTCATCTCCCTTAAAAGAGGTTTGTGCAGTCCAGTCTGTTCCCATGACTAGATTAGAGGTACACCTTGGAAAACAAATTCTAGGTATAAAAATGTTACTGGATTTTGAGTTGAATGATTTTTCATCGGTCTTTGTGGGCATTTTCATTACCAGGCTGGACAAAGTTAAACATGGGTATTTTCCTTTGGTTCAGTATGGATCAAAGGAACCACTTGCCTACTTTCTCATGGATCCAAATCGGTGTTCTCTTTGTGCAGCAATTGTTTTGCTGAGCTTCAGTTTGGGAGACATGGATTTGTGTTTAAGTGGACTTGTAAAATGAAGTATTTAAAAGCAATACAAAGCCAATATGAAAGATTTGTCATGATTTTGAATGGTTCTTTCAGCCGAAGAGGGGAAGCCTGACAGCCTAACACTTCTGCATTTCACAAAGAATCCTGCTGGAAAGTCACCAGGTGGAAAGCTTTTCTTTAGTGTTGGTGTTGAGGGACCATTGTCATTGGAGAGAACACCAAAGGAACATAAGAAAATGTCTGAGAGGAACCGACCTAGGCAAGGTGAGTTCATTTCTGAGGAGGTTTCTATACTGCCATATCAACCTTTCCTTCTATTTTAAAGGTTCTTTCAAATTAATACAGCTCTTTTTAATCCAGGTAATTAGAAGTCTAGGGAGTATTTTGATGCCTACCAGATGTGATCTGTGTGCTAGCTTTACTGGACAAAAATGATCTGGAATCCTGGTTATGCTGACTTACCCAATTCCCATAGCCATTGCTGTTATATTCCTCTTTGAGAGTTGCATAATGGTAATAAAACCTGAGTTTCAAAATTAGTATTTTTTTTTTTAGTTTTTAGGACAACCTTTCTCAGACTACTTTTTTCTTATCTAAGAAACTAAGCACTGAATCACTTGGATCTGAGTATTCTTCCAAGTCTGGTATCAAGAAGCCCTGATCATAGATATCATGTTTCAAAGACCAAAGACAATTTTGTGTTCTGCTCTTATATACTGAGTGAGGCAAAAAAAAAACACACACCACTCTTTGAAAATTTGTGGTGCCTGTGAAATAGCAGCTAGAATAGCAAGGTTTCTTTCATACACATCTCAATGCATCCTTTGAGCACCTGAAAATGTAGCCATTTAAGAACACATGTGATTTTATAAAAGCAACTGAAACTTTATTTTTGCACTCACACCTGGATGCTGATGGGATGTCCTGTCCCACTCATTACTAAAGACAATCCTCTTCAAGAGTTTTTCCTCTGCACTTTATAATCTGCTAAGCAGATCTCTGACTTATCCTTATGTCTGGCAATTTGCAGATGGGAGTTTTACATCCTGGATTATTGTCTCAAGAAACAATGACTTCTACGTAGATGCAGTTTCCTTCTGTTCCAGCTAGTTTTAGTCTTCTGCCCCTTCTCTTTCTCTGTTGAGCTGGTTTCTTGCTGCTTGTGAATCAATCTCTTAATGATCTCTACTTTTATTTCATCAATTGCTTGGAAATTCTTGTAAAATAATGTCCCACCCCATCTTTTCACAAGAGCAGCATTTTCATGAGCAGACAAAGGAGCTCTGGCTTGAAATTTGTGCTGTCCATGTGTACAAACTACTCTTCTGTTGATACATTTCCATGTGCAAAAGTAAAAGTTGAGCTGCCTTTGCATTTTCATTCCTGTGCTGGAGAAAAATGAACAGGAAATTAATGACATTTTAGGGATCCATAGAAGCCCTTGTAAAAAAAAAAGAAAGTTTGCCTTGCTATCTGCTATCTCATAAACTCCTAAGAGTCTCAAAGACTTATGCTTTTTTTTTTTTTGCCTCACCTGGTATTCACCATTGTTCTGGTGGCAAAACAAGAATGTGCCATGAACAACAAGTGACATACCCTGGATGTCCGTAATGTATTTGCAGAGCATGCCATGAACCTTTTGGAGGAGGGTGGACTACAGCTCAGTGCTGATGAACTCCAGAACCTGGAATCAATCTTGTTTTCTGAAGAAGGTAGACGGGTGTTTGGTGATGCATTTCCTCGAGGTTCGAGTGAGTTCTCTGAAGGTTTTGGCCATGAATATTGGCCTGTACAGTCCTTCACAAAAGAAACTCAACTCGTACCTTAAGTGATGTACAAATGATGTATGATGAGGGCATCCAGTCCTTAGTAATCATTTGGTGATTCAGTTTCCTAGTTTTCAATTGTCATTTCTTGATGATTGAAATATTTAACTATTCTTTAGATGCTCCATTTCTGGTCTCAGGTTTATCTTTTAGCAAGTAGCTAAACAAATTTTTACATATGACAGCAAATATGGGTGCATTATGGCTATTATCAAAGAGATGATATGAAGTTCAAGTTCAAGCGCTGCAGCAATTCAGTGCCTATCAGTCTTCATGGTTCATCCCTTTTTAAGGGGAGGGGGTGGAGTGGTTAATATAAAAACTAGTTTCTGACTCTTCCAGGCATCATTTTCTAATTATGTATTTTCACTGGGAAAAAGTCCTCTTTTTTTATTTGTGGAGAAAATGACTAACACTCATGAACATAATATAGGATGGTTATAGTATAGACTTCATTATCATTGCTTACAGGTTAAGAACAACTTATGGCATTCCTGGCCATCATAAGGTAGTTGAGGAATTGATGTCTTATACCAGGTGCACCCATTGCAGCTAAACTAAAATTGTGAAAACTATAAGGATGATTATTTGGGGTAAGTGTGATCATTACCTCTTCTTGTCACAATCTTGCCTTACATGGTCAATCAACACTTCTTCAAATGAGCTATTTCACAGTTATTTCCCTCTTTCACCACAAGTTCTTAATTCTATGCACTTTTGACTGTTGCTGTTGTAAAAAATGCATTTTTTCATTTACTACTCATATTTGATATTGTCTAAAAATAAATTTTAAATCTATACCTATACTTTGTGATGCACTCATGCTACATGTACAAAGTTCCTGAAATTCTACCAAAGATGAGTTGCTTCCAGATACATTCTTACTGCATTCTTCCTTCTTTCTAATGCATGAAATCTTTCTGTTTTGGCTTTAGTTTAATTTTGTATCCTTATGCATTGGAAAGGCTCAGCAAAACCTTGTGGTAAGGGATAGCATATTCAAGTAGGAGTCAATATGTGTGGTTAGAACTCTTTGGAGGTGATAATGAAGCATTACCTGGATTTTTGGTACTTGTGTACTGAGTCCCTGAACCATTGTATGTTGTAAGAATGAGCAACTTCATGCCAAGAAAAAATAATTGCCATTCTTGAACTTTTGTTGTGTTTATCTAACACCATGCAATTGAGTTGCTAGCCACTTAACTATCTGCTTCATAAGTTCATGTTTTAGGGACCCATGTCTAATTCAAATTTATTTTAATTTGACTGCAATGTTTTTAATTTGTTGGTGGCAAGGGGCTCTGTTAATTAATCACTTGAATATAAATCACTATACTCTAAATTTCAAGAAGAATTTCTGAGAGAATGTGCTGCACTGTCAAGATTTTTGCCCAGGATTTCAACATTTTCCCCAAGCACATAGGAGGCTACTTGATCATAGTAATGCTCGCGTTAGATGAACTTTCCCTCTATCTCCCATGCTGTAAAATCAGAGCACCACATGGAGTTTCTTAGGAACAATTCAATCATCTCACATTCTGGCCAAAAGTATCTGCCACTGTCCTTGAAATGAGTGATATGCCATCCTGCCCACACCTCTTGAAGACAGCAAAGAAAGTGCAAATTCAATAAATATAAAATGTATGAAGTCATTTGACAGGTAGCTTTTATATGCCATGAGTAGAGATTTGTGGACTTCTGATTCATTGTCAAAATAAATTGGTGTCAATGCAAGTTTGGGTGTACAGGCTTCCCTTGCTTTACGCAGTTTTGTCTTATGTGGATTCACACTTTCACAATTTTTTCTTTTGCTACCAAAGATTCAGAAAGCATGGGGTATGGTTCACAGATACACAGTTTGAGTTTATTGAATTTTTGGTATGTAAAAAAACACACATAAAGCGAGGGAAGCCTGTATTGTTAGGCCTAAGAGTAACATAGTTATTTTGCTCACTAACTGTCTTGTCAACAGAAATTCAGATGTCCATGCCCATTTCCACTCTTTGCACAAAGCGTTTGATCTTTACTGTGTCCCATGGCAGTATTTGATTCCAGAGTTATGGAGTTTTGACTAGTATGTTTTTTTTGCATGTCCTATGGGATTATTTTGATATTAAAAAGGCCCAAAAACCTTCTTTTTTTTCTTGACATTGTCTATCCAAGCTTTGGAGAACTTCTTTGTTTTCATCTTTTGTCTATAGTTTGAAAATGGGTTTTCCTTTGCTCTTTCTTTAATTAGGCACTGCAGGTCCAGAATTACTGCCCATGGAGCAGCAACTGTTCATACCTCCTCAGCTGACTGGTTAGTATATAATCCTCTCACTGTCTCCATATTTCATGAACCTGTGGATGCAAGCTCACTAGAATCCAGGCTTTGCTTACATGTTGACTCCACGGATTAATCCATGATGCCTAGTGATGAAGCAGCTATCAGTATTGGTATCAATATTGGTATGAGTCACTTTACACTTTAGCACAGTATTTGATTTAGCAGTTATTTTCCCCATTAGGAAAGTATAAAATGGTGATATGATACCCTATAAAATATGTGGAAATTCCTAAATACATTCAATAACCCTTTAAATGCTGAGTGTTTTTATTGGTCAGCTATACTCTTAGTGCTGACTTTACAGTGAGCTCTCTGTCATATCAAACCAGCATACTGGACAACTGGACTATTGGCATAGCTTACTACCATCCAGTGTACTGGACAGTTGCAGCTAAAAGGTTTAAAATCAGATTTAAAGTACACCAGCATGGGATATTATGAGTATCCACATTATACAGATTTTTCATTGTGTAACTCTGTCATGTCCATATCAAAATTGAAAAACTTTTTGCTCCTGAGAGACTATGTCTTTTCTACATTGACAAGAGTGCAGCCATGCATACTGATTTATCTACTGATTTGTAGCCAAATATTTGAAACCAATCAGCCAAAATCAGAAGGGGTTCATTCCAATGTCAAGCTTTGGCTATTGTTTGCTTGCCAGGGTCCATCTAGTCCATCACTGATTGTATTTTCAAGTATCTTAACCCATTGGCTTATGAAGCTGGTGAAGGGTGATTCACCAGCTGCTGTAGCAAAGCCCATTGTAACGCAGGTGTCATACTAGGCACCAATTCTTGAAAACTTGGGGTATGGTCCCTATCAGTGCTTTCCTAGTAAAGTGTTAGGCGTCAAGTAAAAAATTGTGGCCAGATTACCGGGAAAGTGGTCTACCAGAAATGTCATTGTTTGTCTTTATGTGCAAAGCAGTTGTTTTCTGATGCACATCACCAAGCATTTGTCAAGCTTTAGTTACAATACACTTGGTAGTCCTCTATTCTCCTGTTGGTGCTGCATCTGATTTCAGCCTTGTGACAGTTATGTTTCAATCATATGCCTTCAGTTTCTTATCCAGCATTTACTGACAATCTGCCATTGCTTTTATCTGTTTTAGCTGAAGAAATCCTGACTGGGATTGCTATGGACCACTGTTACATTGCTCAGTCATCTCGTATGTTAAAAGTAGCAAGTGTGGAAACTAATCGTGCTGCTCCAACACCAAGTGAAGAATCTCCATCAGACGACTTGGACAGCACCCTTGCTTCTATGCATGCAGAAGAAGAACCCCTCAAAGACTCTGATCAGGATGGTTCATCAAATGATGATGTGAGCAATGTCCTTCATAAGACCCTCTTCATAGTTTCCAGTCTGGCTTGTCATAGATACAGTTTCATTTGGAAAGGTCTTTTTTTACTTTTGTATTCATAAGTTTCTTGTGACTTGGTTCCACTGTTATTTAAATGTTAGGTCTAATTAAATGTACTGGGTGATTTTGAAAAGGCCATTTTGATAGTTGGATTTGATATTAAATAAAAATCATGTGATAGAAATGGGTGCAATTGTTATTATCTCCAGCAAGACACCATTTACAAGCCTTCTATGCTGGTCTTTCAAGCAGCTCTGCATGCACATCTCAGCAGTGTTGCCCTAAGTGCATGATATGATATTCATTCTCCATTGTTAATACTCTCTCCTGAGACATCTTTCCCTTGATTTCCCTTTAGATATCACCTATGCGTCGATCTCAGCGTCAACTTGAAAGACAGGAGAAAGAGAAAGCAGACAGGATTCGAGCAGAAAACAGGCAAATGTTGGAGAGAGAGAAAGAAGCCATGCTGATGGCTACAGTTGGTACAAAAGTAGATAAGGATCTGATTCCTCCCACTGATGAAGGTGCTCCACCCATTGCTATTGGTATATTTCCTCTTTTCTCACATTTATGGAAATAATTTTTAAAATCTTTCTATTGGATTGGATTCTTATACTTTTCTTTGAGATACCTAGATATGACCCTTAGTTCATTCATTTGGTGAGAATTAAGTGAGCCATTCATCTTTCTTTAAAGATGAGAAGCGGAAAAGTACTAGTGTAAAGGGAAAGAGTGAAGAGATTCGGGATCATGCACCCAAAATTGACAAGAAACCCCGTGAGGTTAAGAAAGTGGACCACCCTGAACATCCCAAGAGGCACACTCCAGATCCACCTCGTCCTGAGGAGAGTAACATTGAAGGTTTGTTCTCCACTTTCTGCATTTCTGTTGAATTTCTTCGCTTGTGTTTCTCATGTGCCCCCACTTCATTGTCTTAATTGTTGTTAGTCAGGAAGGACCATATGATTGGGGGTGAACTTCATATTTTGTCCATTTCTTACTGATGGAGCCAAATGATGTTGGCCACAAATAATTTTATTATTATGTTGGGATGTGATTTTTTAAAATTATCCTTGAGCTAACATGAAAAGAGACAGGACACTTCTTGCATATGGCATTAGCAAGCTATAGAGTCTGGTCCAAGTTCGATAGCCAGGTTGCGGAGTCCTTTTCCAGTGCTTGTAGAGCTGCAATTCCTCCATTGAATTTTCGTTTTCCACACAATGGTTCGCTATGTGTTCCATGGTTTAGTCGGGATGTTCGCAGTCGCAGGCAGGATTGTCTTTGTACTGCCATTTGTACAGATGATGTCCAGTCCTGGCATGTGTTGTGTAGATTCAGTTCAGCACAGTCCATAATTCCCAGGGCAGGTGGAAGCCTGGCGACTCTCTGGTCAGATCTTTGATAAGGATATTGTTTGACATGGTAGAGTTGTGCCATTCCTTTTTCCACTCTTCTTTAACATCAAAAGACTACACCATCAGATTGGGAGCTTTTTTCCAAAAATGGTGTCTGCAATTTGAGTCTTATTGGTGGTTGGTGTCTGAGGTCTTGGTGGACTGGGAGGTCTTCGTGGACTGGGAGGTCTTCCTTGTCTTGGATGTTGAGGTACTCTTGCAGGCAACTCTCACACTTTTGGATTTCAGGCAGGGAATGTTTGATAGTACAGGCAACCACAGTATGAAATGCAGCACAGGTGGATGAGAGTGCTCCAGTAATGGTCCTCGTTGAATTGAGGATAGCGTCGAGTTTCCCTGTGTGGCTGCTCTGAAGGCACACTGGCACACAGTACTCAGCTGTGGAGTAGATGATGGCTCAGGCAGCTGTTTGTAGGGTGCGAGCATCCACTCCCCAGCTCGTACTGGGAAGTTTGTGCACGATGTTGTTGCATGTCTTAGTTTTCTCACAGGTCTTTCAGAGATGTTCCTGAAACATGAGGCTGTGGTTGAGTGTCACTCCAAGGTACTTTGGGCATGTTTCGTTTTGCACTTGGTCACCACAGAAAGAAACCTTGACTTCTGCCTTCGCCAGGTGGTTATTCAGGTGGAAAGCAGTGATGGTTGTCTCTGATGGGTTGGGGTGAAGGCACCAATGATGGTAGTAGTCCTCCATTGTTTTCAAGTCAGTGGTTAGAGTGTGACTAATGTGGTTGACGTTGTTGTCTTTATATACTAGTGCCAGGTTGTAGGCATAAGCAAATTTCCACTATGATGTCTGTGGCATATTGCTTATGTAAATATTGAAAAGTGAGGGTGCCAACACTGAATCCTGTGGCAGTTCAGCGTCTTGGCTGAGCTGGCCTGATCCCCATGGTACACGCAGAACCTATGGTTGCTCAGCGTTGAAGTAAGGAGATGCACGGTGCCACTGCATTTCAGCATCTTGGCTGATTTCAGCTGTAGGCTGTTTCTCCATACTGTGTCATTGGCAGATATAAGGACAATGAGCACAGTTTCAGTCTTTTGTTTTCTTTGGAAGCCAGATTCGATGCATGATGTTAGTGCGATGACCTGGTCGGTGCAGCTCCAACCTGGCCAGAATCCTGCCTGATATGTGCTGCCTCCACGATGGGTGCAATGCGGGCTAGCAGTACTTGTTCCATTAGCTTATATACTGTGCAGAGGAGCGAGATAGGCCTGTAGCTTGAGGCTTCTTCGGGTGGTTTCCTCTGGTGGACTTGGATGGCCTTTCATAGGTTTAGATTTTTTGCTTTTTAGTGGTTTAAGTGGCATTAATTGTATAATTTTTATAATTTGTCATTCATTCATCAATGAAAATTTGTCTTCTATGTTTCTCTTAGTCATTTTGCATGATTGTTTAGATTATTTTTACAAACAGAAGTGCTTTTACCTTATATTGGAAGGTCTGCTATGAGCATGATAAATATTATTTTCAGTATAGAGTCAGTAAAAGAATCAAAATTGGCACATAATTAACCTGAGAAATTCCAATGCAAATGAGAAATCACTCCCTCTGTATCACCATTGTTCATGGCAGAAATGGTGGTGAGCTATCTGCAATATGTGGCATCTTCCATTGATGACCACCTCAACATGCTTCATGAAACTGAAATCCCCATCCAAATAACTTACACATGTCTTTATGAAATAGCTGCATGAGAGTGCTTCCCACTGGTCTAGAGGGAACCATCTTTGTTCTTTGCCTGAGACAGCTTTCAATTCACTCGCTTCCACTTGTGATAACTGAAAGTGAGAATTTGCTTAGCTATCTCTCTCACCATTTCAGAAGAACCTCATTTTTGCATTTTTTTAGTTATATGCCTCTCATATGTTCCTAAACCTGGCTTCACTGCAGTCAGTGATCAACAGCTGCTTACCACTTCTGCCATATAAAATAAAATATGGAAATGCTTGTTGTATTGGACATAGTATTTCTCCTTCATTCTGATTCTCCTTCTACATCTTCTATGTCCTGTGCAAAATTGCTCATGTTGGTTTTATGTATATTTTCAGAAATGGGAGAAATGGGATTTAAAACTCTGTAAATGGAATAGTGATTGTGTCATATTAATTATTATCTTCTAGAAGCTTGTACCCATGAGTTTGCTTTGCTCTCTTGCAGGTCTCACATTGATAAAGTTGGGTGCCAAACCTCCTCCTTCACATGTTGCTGATGCTATTGCAAAGCTGAAGCATCAGGCAGACAATGGAACTCCCTTGCATAAGACAAAAAAGGAGATAAGAAAGCAGACCAAAACCCTTGAACCAGAGCTCTTCTCCAAACCAGATGTCTTGATATCAGAACATGGGAGAAGAGAGAATGATAAGAAACAAGAAACTCCTTGTGATATTCTATATTCCACATCTGTAAGTTGCAATTTGTTTCATACTGAGAATGGTATGGGGGGGGGGGGGGAAAGAGAAAAGTTGCATAGAAGTTTCTCAGTTATCTTCTCATGTAAAGAAGCCAATGAATTACTACTGCACTGGAAGCATTAGGTGAAAAAATTTTTAACTTGGCAGAAACCTTACTCATTCATCTGAAATGTCATGTACAGTAAAACGTTATCTTAAAATTATTTGGCCCCATATATTTTTTTGCAACAGTGTAAGTTCTGGAATCATTTGAAGGCTTCTGCACTTCTCTAGTTCTCACATGGTGTCTTCACTAGCATTTCTGTGTACCTCACACTGTGTCAAAATATAAATATATAAAATTGGACAACCCAATGAAGATTAGAAAATACTTGGAAAATTTTCTCTTAGTACTCTTTATACTTCTGATCAAGGTGAAATGTTACTGCAGACTTATTTCAAAAAGGACATTTCTTAGGAGCAAAGGAAATAATTACTACTGTTAGTTATAAGCAGTGATGAACTATGTGCTCTTATATATGCTCTTTTCAAGTGGTCCCCCCCCTCCCACAATTATCTCCAAAACACCTCAAACTGTTGTAAAATAACTGTCTATTGTGCTAACTCCCAGGTCTAGAAAATATTGATGTTGCATTGATGTTTTTTTTTTTTTAGTTGGACAGTGGTGAAACAAAATCTTCTCTAGACAAGTTGTGTAAAGATGAAGAAAACCAGCCAGATGTAAGGACTGAAGTGACAGATGAGAAGAGTATCCTTTTATCCTCAAGAAGTGTCTCTGATGATTTTCCAAAACTAAAGGAAAGTGAAAACCAGAAGATAAAAGAGAGTGGGCTCAAGAGAACAGACTTGTCAAAAACTTCTGTCACAAATCGGATCCCAGCCAACAAGACAGGTGTGAAACAAAGATTGGGACCAGAAGAAGCTATGATGAACATAAAAAACTCATCAATGGGTGAGAAGGTTGTGAATAAAGGGTTAATGACTTCTACAGCCCAAGAAAAAGCAAAAGAAGTGTCAAGTGGTATCAGCAGAACTGAGAAAAGTGTTTCCATCCTGAAACAGCGCCATTCTTCAGCATCTGGAAAGAGTGAGGAACATACAAAGCCTTCATCAGGTGCTCCTGTTTCCTTAAACAAAATGCACAAGTCTCTTCCCCAAATGAAAACTGCAAATCTTGAAACTGGTGAGACAATCTTGTCCTTCACTGTTTTTCCTGGCAGGAAATTTAGAGGCAAAAATTTCTAGTTATTTCAGTAAAAGGTTTTGTTTTTCAGGGTAAAAGAATGGTTGGCCTTTTGGCCCTCTGAACTTCTCCATGGCCCTTGTTTAAGGGAGAAATTCTGACCTTTGTGCAACCAGCAACTCAGGGAAAATGGGCCTATCTTTTTCTTGAATGTTGTGTTAAAGGTGGTAGACTTAATTACTGCATCCAGAAGACATGCCACAGGCATTACTCAACAGTGTGGCCTGCCAGTGCAAATAGCAACAACTAATGGATGCTGATTAAGTTAATTAGGGCATATGTGAGTAATAATATATGTTGTGGATCGCTTGTTTTGATTGCCATAGATAATGTTGTATTTCATTGTTTTTATTTGTCTAGGAAGTATTTTAATTTAAAATTGTTTCTTTTGTTGAGATTCCTCTTCCCATCTTCGAGATCCATATCTGTTGTTGGCAGATCTGCTTGCTCATGTTTTGACATAATAGTGTTTCTTGTGAGATTCATATACTTGGCAGAATGTTAACCCCTAGTAGCAGAATGCTTTTGCAACCCTCAAGTTGATTCATGCACCTCACATAATCTTTTGTACCCCTCATGCAATGAGATGGCAGGATGGAGTTAAAAACTTCATGCCATACATACTGATTGTTTTGAAGGACTTATGAAGTACTTTGCCACTAGTGCACAGCAATTTGTAACTGGTAAAAGCTCTATGGGAAGCACTATACATTCTGCCCTATTTCATCTGCCTACTCTGAAAATTCAAAACAAAAAAAAATCTAACCAAGAAAATCTTGGAGTATTGCATAATCTAATGATATTCCAGTTCTTGGTGGATTCATCTCGTGGCAACTAATGCAAGATTATCTTATGTAAATATATGCTTAATTGTTGCAGAAATCAAGTTCTAAATGGCACTAATTATAATTATGCTCATCAGTTACTTCATGGAAATTGTACTTAGTTTAAGGAAACATTAGTGTCATTGTAACAGGGAGGGATAATATGCAAACTGTAATTCAACAATATGAGGGTCACACCCTTTAAGGCTGGGGAAGTAAAAAAAACCTGGTCAAATTATGTTGAACATTGAAAGTACTGAACATAAAAAATGATACACAGGGTCTGGATGTTGGCTGACTGACTTATTCCCTTCTACCCTCGAGAGTTACTCAAGGTTCAAATATTAAGCTACAAAATAAGTTTCAATGCAAATGTATGTAAAAATATTCTAAATTCAGAAATTTGACTGCCAAAAGAGTTTAATTGAAAACCAATGAAAAATGAAGTGAAATATAACTGGTAAGTCCTAAGAGAGAGCCAAGTATAGGATTTCCAAAAAGGTATGACCAATAATGAAGTTCGGATAACAAGAAAGCCATTTGAGACTGGCAAATGAATCTGCAAGCACATACAGGCAGCATCAAGTTTTATTGCTCCAAATTTTGTTTGTGATAAGTCTCCACATGTCTGCCATTGCTTGGGTGAAATGCATCATACTGAAAAACCAGGAACTGCTGAGGGTTGACAAGCATCTCGGGCATGATGGTTTTCAGCACATCTGTAATGCACTGTTTCCATTCATTCATGTTTTGTAGTTTTGTGGCATACACTCTGTCCTTAATGTATCTGCAAATAAAGGAAGTCAATGGGTGTGAGGTCTAGTGAGTTTGTAGGCAATGGAATTGGCCACCTTGCCCACACCAGTTGCTATGGATGCCTCGTTCATGTACCCTCTGACAATTGTCAACATGTGGTGAGGAGCGCCATCTTGCTGAAAGATCAGGTAGAGGAGTCCATCCTGTGTGAGTTGCTGCACCAAGTACTGCTGGATCACGTCAAGATATGGACCAGAACTCAATGTCTTCACAAAAAAAGGCTCTCTAAACAATGTTATGCATAATGGTAGCCCAAACATTAACCTCTGGATTGGCCTGCTGCTCTCATATTAAATGTGACTTTTCTGTGCTCCAAATCATGCAGTTGTGCATGTTCACCCTGCTGCTGATTTTATGTGGAACTTCATCACTAAATCAAACAAATTGCACAATAAAAGTGTTGTCTTTCTCAAAGTTCAGGCCAACATGCAGAAAGCAATGCACTGTTCATAATTCACTTCATGGAATGCCTACACTCATAGCAAATGATAAGATACATTTTGGGTGTCTTTTTTGGCATGATTCAGTGGACTGTTATGAGGAATTCTGAGTTCAAGCAAAGTTCTTCTGATTGACTTTTGTGGGCTGCACATTATGGCAGCCTCAACTCATCAACATTTCCTCTTTTTGTGGAGGACCTGCTGACATGTTTCAACATCCATATGACCCCATTGCTTCAAAATTTTGCACACAACAGTAAATGCTCTTTGAACTTCATGTCTACTTCCCATACAACCTACAAAACTTGCTACACTCAGGTTACACTTTCTAACTCAGTATACAGAGTGACACACTCCCTTTTCTTTCTGAGCCACCATCTTGTGAAAAGAGTCTGACCTGCCACTTGAGTGAGAAAGAAGTTCAAATAATTATTACTTTTTTGGTCATGTCTTTTGGAACACCTTGTATATCTCAGTCCTCATAGTCTTATAGTCATAATGATTTCCAAGATCCTCTCTCCACTCTTGATGTGTACTTATTTCTTCTGAGGAGGTTATCTGCTCTGTAAGAGAGTGATCCTTGATTGACTTGCTCTTTTTGAAGCATAGTCATTTCACAATCCAATTTGCAATCTTCCCAGAAGGGCAAGTACTTTCTCTGATCTAGTAAAACTATATAAAAATGAAAGCTTCATTGTTCTGGTCTGGTTCATTAGTCTTGAGAACCTAGTGATGGTTGAAACTGTGCATGGAGCATTTTTCACTGACCTTTGAGGACATTTTACTCCTGGTTCTTTGGCATTCTGATCATGGGACAATTGGAAACAGTAAGAGTGGTATGTAGCATAAGACTTGAATTTATCTTGTGGATTTTGCAATTTCCATGGAAGCATGGTTTTCTAGTAGGCTATTTGCACAAGGTTTATTTTTCCATTTAAGGAGGAGAGAAGGTCAAGGAAAAGAAGAAAAGGAAGAGGAGAAAGAAGATCAGAAGTGTAAATACAGGAGCATCTGAAAGCAGCAAGGCTCAAAGTGACATGGAGTGTGAGGAATCAGATAATCCTATCCCTGAAGATGAAGATGATGATGCCTTAAAGATAGTATATGATGATGAAGATGAAGATGAAGATGATGATGATGATGATGATGATGATGATGAGGAAGAAGAAGGTGCTGAAGATGACTCTGAAAATGACCCCAACAGACTTTGGTGTATCTGCCAAAAGCCTCATGATAATCGGTGAGGAAATTGGTCCTTGTTAATCAATATTGTTAATCTGCTTTTCTCTCTCATGATATTGGTGAATGTGCATCTTACTTAGGTTTATGATCTGTTGTGATGGATGTGAGGACTGGTTTCATGGGAGATGTGTTGGAGTCACCCCTGGCATGGGTGAGTTCATGCCCTTGTTATAAGTGGAACAGAATAAACCACTCTTTAAATTAATTATCTAGCTTTTATTGTCTAATTTACACTGTCATCATGGTGAGTTTTGTTTTTCTATAGTTATTTCTACATCTTTCATTGAAACATCTATGATATTCCCTGAACCAACAGAGGTGTTGACTGCAGGAATGAAATTCCTCAAACTGTCTCCAAGACATTCAGCTTCACTTCCAAGTGTTTGTAGAAAATTTCTTGACCTCCAAGATCATGGTGTTCATTTCCAAAGAGGAAGTGGAAGGCCATTATCTTCATTTTTTGCATATCTCGACCTATACGTGGGGAGGTCGGAAAGTTCGTGGATTTTCACATTTTTCGGCACCATTGAGTGATGAGTGATTGTGGCCCATTCAATTGATATCTCTTGAGCCCTTTCAACATTTTTTTAGAATTTTTAATACCGTACAGAAAGATGGAGACCCGTCAGAAGCAAGACGGTGCTGTGAATGTTCACAAGACTGTGAAATTTTCAGCGGAACAAAAACGAGTGATCCTCCTCTACCATTTTCGGAGCGGTTTGAAACCGCAACAGGCGTTCGAAGAGATGAAGAAGAACATCAGGGATGATGCTCCAGGCAGGACCATGGTCTTCAAGTGGTTTCAACGATTCGAAGTTGGTCATTTCGAAGTCACCGATGATCCACGAAGTGGGCGTCCATGAACTTCGACAGGCGATGGAATGGTTGCTGCTGTGGCAAAATTCCTGGGAGAAGAACCCTCTGCGACCACAAAACGACTTGCCGACGTCTTTCAAGTCTCAAAAACGTCGATTTCGTCCATTCTTCATGACCAACTTGACTACTCAAAGAAATCTGCTCGTTGGGTTCCATGTCTTCTGAAACTGGAGAAGGAGACCAGGGTGAACTTCTGCAAGATGTTCCTGGAGGATTTTGAAGACGGAAATTCGCCAAACTTCCAAAAACCTGGTTTTACATGTAAAACCAGGCTTCATCTCCAGTGATTATCTTCCTGAAGTATAGCAAATGTCCGTCTTCAAAATCCTCCAGGAACTTCTTGCAGAAGTTCACCCTGGCCTCCTTCTCCTCCGGTTTCAGAAGACGTGGAACCCAACGAGCAGATTTCTCTGAGTAGTCAAGTTGGTCATGAAGAATGGACGAAATCGACGTTTTTGAGACTTGAAAGACGTCGGCAAGTTGTTTTGTGGTCACAGAGGGTTCTTCTTCCAGGAATTTTGCCACGGCAGCAACCATTCCGTCGTTCGTCGAAGTTCTTGGACGCCCACTTCGTGGATCATCGGTGACTATTAAATGACCAGCTTCGAATCGTTGAAACCACTTGAAGACCATGGTCCTGCCTGGAGCATCATCCCCGATGTTCTTCTTCATCTCTTCAAACGCCTGTTGCGGTTTCAAACCGCTCCGAAAATGGTAGAGGAGGATCACTCGTTTTTGTTCCGCCGAAAATTTCAGTCTTGTGAACATTCACAGCACCGTCTTGCTCCTGACGGGTCTCCATCTTTCTGTGTGGTATTAAAAATTCTAAAAAAATGTTGAAAGGGCTCAAGAGATATCAATTGAATGGGCCACAATCACTCATCACTCAATGGTGCCGAAAAATGTGAAAATCCGCGAACTTTCCGACCTCCCCACGTATAGATATTGATATAGACATTGGAATATATTAATCAATGTTGAGCATATTAACATCCCTTTTCATTGAACAAGCATATGAATATCCCCACTTTTTGCTGCTTTGCTCATGTCTGTCTTCTTATCAAGGTGTTCTGGCTGATCATTGATACTGTGAAAGATGAGGAAATACATAAATACTATGGACCTAAGTTTCCTTCAGTGTTTTTCTTTAAAGCTTTTAAGGCTGAACTTTTATTTTTAGTCATGGAGAACTTTACAATGTGTTCCAGGCAAGAAGATGGAGAAACAAGGAATATCATGGTTTTGCCCTAATTGCAAGGACAAGCAAAGTAAAGGAAATGATACTCCATCCAAGAAGCATCAGTCTGCTCCAAAACCAAATCCAAATATAGACAAATCTCTGAAATTAGATAAATCAGTGCAGAAGAAAAGGAGGATGATTGGAAAGCAGAAGTCCTTGATGAAGAAATGGAAGGGTGGAGAAAAATCTGATGAGAAACAGGTGAGAATGTGGCATATGGTTTATATGCAGAATGGCCCGAATGTATATATTAGTTACATGTGCCTACATGCAATGAAACTGATATTTTCTTATGGTCTACCCTCTGTTGTGACTCTGAATCTCTCCCATGTCTTTGCTTAGTCTTAATCCAAGTATTCAAATATTTCTATTAAAAGAATGTTGTGGTTCATTGATTAATGAATTGTAAATCATTCTTTATTGGGTACCCCTTTCAACCTTATTTAGAAAACAGCTGCAGAAAACTCTACAATATGTTCAGTTGTTTTGTTCTGTGAAATGTGAGAAATAAGGAAATGATAAAATTAAAAAATATCAATATTTTACCAGGATGATTTGGCTTGGGGGTTCCCAGCTGTTTGCTGGTGTTCTTTCAACTTCTCATGTCTTCCTGTCTTCCAACTCTGTAAAGAGTAAGGGTGTTGACCAGAGGCAAGGAAAAGTAGTGAGGTGTATTGTGAGTAATTGGGGATACAGGGTGGTCCAAGAAAAAGGTAACTGAAAGTATCATAAGCTTTTTTTTTGATAAAAAGAACTAATTTTGGGAACACTTCCAGTGTGATTTGGAAATATTTTTTTCATTGATTGATTTTGAGAGCTAGGTTTTCCAGCAATATGGAGCTACAGCTCACTTAGACCATGGAAATTTACAGTTACTGGAGCAGATGCTTCCCAGTCTATTGATTTCACAGCACAATGAGTTTCCGTACTCTGCATGCAGTCCGCATCTGACACTGCCTGATATGTACTTGTAGGGGCTACTGAAAGAGAGATGTTTTACACCTGTACATTGCGCTCTTGATGAACTATGCATCAACATTTCTTGTGTTCTATGTGAGATTGCAGAAGAAGTCTTACAGGCAATGGGCAGGAATTTAATCCTTCACATGGAGTTATGCATAGAGCTTGATGGTGAACATGTTGAACACATCATTGTGCATCAAGTGCATGGTGGCTAACAAGCATTAATTATTTGTACTCTGCACTCTTTAGTGATTGTTTTAAAGCTGTTTGCAACTTTTGTTATTGTGCTATCTAGTGTATATATTACAGGGTTATAATTAAAAGACATTTTAATTTTCAGTTACCCTTTTTTTTGGACCACCCAGTATTATGAGCCATGAGGCTGCCATGTAATAGTGCTATTATGAAACTCTCACCAAATATCAAAAAGCATAACTGGAACCCTGAGTCCCTGTAAAACCCAGTCTAGGAAACCAGACTTTTATAAGAAAGGGAAGTATGTAGTGATAGGGATGGCACAGAGGCACTGGTACATGGCACTGAACACCCCAGTTTCGATGGTGTGATAGCACCCCTGACCAGCAATCAGGAAGCTTGGATTTGATTTCCAACCATTCCCTGTATTCTTTCATCCTCTCATGTCATCCAATTCTTCCCATGAAAGGCAACTGGCATTACATATGCTTCACTGACTACTTTTTTTTATTTCCACCTTCCAATGAGTCACTAGATGTTGATATCAAAGTGCTCATACATGGGTTTGCTTCAGATGTATTCAGGCTTCATTTTTGCTGTGATGGAAAGCTATCCATACCCAATATTGACGCATGAAAGGGCTATCATAGGTTTTTTATATTTCCTTTAGGACTTTGAGAACTGATGAAGATTATTCTCCACAAATTTTATGCACTCATTTCAAATTTTTTCTACAGCTCTGTGTTGTGTCTGGCTGTGGGAAGAAGGTTGAACAACATTCCGTTTTCTGCAGTGATGAATGCATAGAAAAACATGTTGCAGCAGTCAAGGAAGGGAAGGTAAGTCATGCTCATTTGGCAGAATGAGATATAACATCATTTTATTTACAGTAAAACTTGCCTTTGTAGTGTTGACAGGTGTCAATTTTTAGATCTGCTGCAGAAAGCTGCTTTTCTTGTAAGGAAAGTGAAAACTAGGTTGCCTCAGATGTCTTAATCTTTGTTGAGGTTCTTTGAGTCATAAGATGGTATGCAATACTAACAGGGGTTTCCTTTTCTTGCTTTGGTTAATTACAAGCTGCATATGTACCCTTAGGTGGCTTCACGTGCAATGAGTGGAAAGAGCAATCCTCTTCCTGTTGAAGCAAGAGTAACTCTTTTTGAGAGAAGTTCTGGCCACATCATCTCAGGCCATGAAGCCCCAACCATTGCTAATCTCACATCCTGGCTTAAACAAAACCCATCATATGAGGTCCTTATCACTCCATCAAGGCTCTCTGCTGCCAAGTTCTACAGGTGAGGCACAACTCAAAGGTGGATGACAATGCAGACCAGGAAATTGTCCCCTGTTTTTTTGTTAAGTCTTGACTACAGTGAGTTGGAGAAAAAGTTTATATGGAGCTTTGCAAGATGCCGATTCATAAAGTATTTTACTGCCTGATCCAGTTGGAGTGTTTCATTCTTTTACATGGTGTTGTAATTAGGGCTGTACCGATGGTGCTCTTTGGTTGATGGGCTGATTGTGGTCTTGCACTCACCGACTGGAGCTGGTGTAAATACTGATTGTGGCAAATATATGGGGAGAAAGGTAACAAATTGTCTTACATTCCTTCAGCATCAACTTTTTTCAAAACTTAAGAGGTTTATAATGCCAAATCTCTGTTTCTTCCATGGGGGTAGGGCATGTGAGTTTTAGAGAAAAGAAATGGAAGTGTGGCAGGATGCCCAATGCCATCATTTGATGAAGCTGCTGCAGCTAAGATTTGCTGAATTATGCACTTATAAAATGTAGATATTTTTTTTTATTATCAAAGAAACACAAGAAACGTATTACAACTGCCAGTATGCAAAAATCCTTAGCCCTTGACCTACATATTCTTGGAAAATAGAGGGAAAGTCTGTCATGATGCCTGATGCTAGCACTCAATTTGATGTCGGTGTCAAATGCTGGGAGAGATTTCTGCTTTGGTAACATGTAATGTTATCTTAAATACATTAATTTTAGTTGCTCTGCAGAGAATCAGCATTAGCCTGTATTTTTTTGGAACTGCCAGAAGTCCAGCTGCATGTGGGATCCCATCAGTAGACCCATTTCTCAGGCACAGAGATTTAATCATGACATATACTGTCTTAATTTCTTGTGGAAGAGGCCAGAAGAACATGTTTCTTTTCATTGTAAAAGAGGCAGAGAGTTCAATGCAGGACACAATCACACATGCACCTTCCTCTTTCGTTTTTTGATGAAATAATGAAGAATTTTGCCATTGGCCTTTGGTGCAGATGATGCCATATCGGTGGTCAGTTGATCGGTACAGCCCTAGTTGTACTGGAGAGGACTGAGAATTTCTAGTGACTTGAATACCTATTGCTGGAGACTCACATGTATTGTCTCCTGTCTTTTGCTGAATTTCATGTTGGTGGCGTGGGCACCCTTTCTTGGCTCTGTGTTCCATCTCTACTCTTATTATGTTCTTGAATGCTATAGCAACTTGGGGAAAACGCTTGGGAAAGGAGGTCTGCGGCCACAGGCTCTGACTATGAAACATTCTGATGGGCAACCCCAAATAGGAGGTTCCTCAGCAGCATCTGGTATCAAAGAGGAAGAGATTCCAGACAAGAAGAGGGAACATGAAAAGAAAGAGAAGTCAAAGAAGGAACGTGAGCAATCAGAAAAAGGGAAGCCTGATCAGGACTTGAAGAAGAAAGAACCCGAAAGATCGAAGAAGGATCACCAAGAGAAAAAAGAGCCAGAGAAGGAGCAAGTGAAGAAGGACCAGGATAAGGCAAAAAAAGAAAAGAGGGCCAAAGAGGAAGAAGAATCAACACGGAAATTTGTGCGCACTCATCTCAAAACCTCTCTCATGACTAGGTGAGTTTATGCAGTTGGGATGAAGCAGAAAACTGACAATTTTGAAGGAAATTCACCTTTCATGCAAGACAGTGCAAATGGCCTTGTTACATGAAGGCAACTCTTCAGGATGATACAGCATGAGACCAGTTGAGACAACACTAAAAATTGGCATTGTGTGGAACAGTTCCTATAAAGAATCATTGCAAGCAACAGACTGATAGTCAATAAGGAAGGTCTGGTGTCCCTAAGGATGTGTCAACATCAGAACCTCAAAAATGAATGGCTTAGGGCTTATGATCACACAATCAGTACATACTTGGTATACTATATTTCACTCAGACATATTGGTATAGGTGTACCAAGTGTGGGGTGTATTCATGAGTGCAAAAGTGAGTGTAAATGCATCCTTTAATCCCAAAAGTAGGCATCCAAATGTAATATTCTCTAGCACCTTGATGATCGAGTCCCATGTAAGAAAATGCTATCTTTTAAAGGCTTTGGTCTAGCTACAGTGCTATCACGAAGGAAAAGTTACAGATGAGAGGGAGTTCCCCTGCAGAAATCAAGTACATTAGCCATCATAGATGTAAAGGGTAATTCCACTTCCTAGTAATGTATCCACACTTGCTGACTTATGGCTGCTACCATGATCTGTTATGAGTTGTGTCTGTTTTGATTTGATTGGAGGCAAGTGAAGTCTCCTGTAGTTGCAGAAAGTCGAACATGGTAGACTTCTGACTCAAGAAATTTCATACTATCATGTCTAAGTTATGTACCAATGTTGCACAGGCCAATAAGAGGAGACTGCATGTGGTACTTCATGCTGTTACATCAGCATTTTCCTCATGTAATATTAATTTGTATTAGAATTCCAGAACAAAGATTAACTGCCTGAAAACAATACCATACATCCTGAAAAAATGAAAAATTTTAATTTCTTATTGCATTTTATGCAATGTACTGGGATGTACCCTAGCATTATTGAATACAAAGCAAATGAAGTTGAGAATGTTCCATTTTAAGGTAGACAGAAATTATCTTGATGTTTACCACATTATTCAACCATCTCTGAATGGCCGGCAGCCATGTAGCCTTAGACAGCAGATGTCAGACTCACCTATTACTTGAAGATTAGCATGTCAGTGTAAGCTTAAATTATGGTTTGTTAGGAAAGTATCTAAAGATAAGAAAGTGAAAGTTTATTGATTTTTCAAAGGTAAGATTATTCTTGAGAATCCCTCAATATCAGAACAAAGTGATCACTGAATGATTAGTAGCTTTTCTGATACCAAAATTATTTTCAGGTTGAAAGATGCACCAGACATGCACATGAGTGAGGAGAAAGTGGATAACCTGGTGAAAGCAGTTGAAGAAGAAATGCATTCTGTATTCAGGAGCACCAGCCTTAAGTACAAAAATAAATTCAGGTGAGCACCTGATATTTACATCAGATTGACTGGGAATGTCTTTCTTTTTTTCTCCTCTTTTTCCTCATTTTTTTTTTTTACTCGTTTTATAAATTAGGCCATACTTATTTAGTAATCTGCTTCATGATGGCTACATTGCTTTATTTTTGTTTTACTCTATGCCAAATTATGTGATTGCTCTTTAATGTCTTTGTTGACTTCCATCTTTAGTATACTTTTTTAAATTGTGAAGTTAATGTCAGTTTTTTAGGCATGTATTTATGTTACCTCTTAATTATTGAAGATCCACAGCTTAAAAGTTGCACTTTTTTAATATTCTCTTTTTCTGATTGGATGCACAAATACCAGTGAACAGTATAGCTTCAAATCATTGGAAGAAATATCAGTCATCCATTAGAGGAAGATAGTTGATCAGAGAAATCTTTCCCTGAAAGTCTTTGTTGAAAGCTGATGAATAATTAGCTAGCAGTTTTTGTCATTTCCTCATGGATTTTGAAGGTATAAGGTCTTTGTAGACCGTGAATTGGCTGTATTCTGTCCAGGTTGCAATCTGTGCATGTCAACTGGCCATTCAGTTGCTAGCCCATACCCTTCCAAACCTTGTCAAGCTGGTGACATTATTCCCCTGATACTGCCATGTCTTATCGTCTGTGGAATGCTGATTTCACTTGTAAAAGCTTGTCAATGCTCAAACAGCAGTTTATATAGTACCTGAGACATGTAGAAGCATGAATTTGTGACAAGAACAAAAGGAGGCTAACTGTAGTCGGCATTGTTTGTTGATCAACCCCAATAATAGGAGCAACAGATTTCTATCTCAGTGCAAAGAGGAAATAAAAATGGTCATATATGGAAGTAATATGTATTTGCCTTGCTATTGTAGGAAACATGAATTGCTTTTGCTGTTAATTTGGGTGGTACCAAAAAAATTCTCTTTCATTTTCTCTGGGAGAATCATGGCACTGGAAAAACTGTAGTTCTTGTCCAATTATTGTCAGCCTGGTGGGAATAGGGTCATGATGAGCTGAATGAAAGCAATGAAGTTTCCCCAGACCCCAGACTGACCCCTCATCTGTTAGTGATGCTTCTAATATCAGGTCACTTGTAAGAATATGAACATTACTCAAAGATATCTTATGTGTACCTGAAGCTACTTGACTTGTCAGTTTTTAAGTCAATTTTTTTATTTTGAAAAGTACTGTATAAGTGCTTTCTCCACAGGAGTTTGAATTTCAACCTGAAAGATGCCAAAAATCAGGGTCTTTTCCGCAAAGTATGTTTGGGAGAGATAAGTCCTCAAGCACTTGTTCAAATGTCACCAGAAGACCTGGCCTCCAAGGAGCTTGCTGAGTGGAGAGAGCGTGAGACGAAGCATGTAAGCTCTTCTCCTGTCTCTTTCATCATTTATTGCTCCAATTTAATAATCATTTTCTACTTAAAGCTGAATTTTTTTTAGAGTTGTTGTGAAAAATTCCTGGTGAAAAATTCTTAGGCTCTTTTTCTGTCAAGGCATTCTTGAGTCCTACAGCTCAGAATGAGCAAGCTGACTTGCTTTAGTGTAGCAGCTAAATCTTCTGTGACCTCTGTGTTGGCTTTTTGTCACTTGTAGCTTCTTGTCTTTCCAGCAATTGGAAATGATAAAAAAGAACGAATTGGAATGGCTGCAACATGGAGAAATTTACCTAGTCAAGACCCACAAAGGGGAAGTTGTGATAGAGGGAGAAGATGGACTACCTTCTGACAAAGCCAAGAAAGGTGATTGTGAGCCTATCAACCAGAGCAACTCGAGTATATAAGTACTAATTCCTATTTTCTAGATGCCTGCATGTTGAAATTTGCCAATGATTTTCATATAGGTCCTGAGGAGCTCAAGTTACCTGAGCAAGAACCAATTGTTGATTTGGGTCTTGCACCTCCTGGCAATGGATCAAGCCTTCTAGAAGACACCACAAGTCATCATGGAAGTCATCTGTATGACATGAATTGTCGCATTTGTACAGGGAAGGAGGAGCCAAAAATCCTTCCTTCTCAAAAGGTTTGTTGAGATTGTTGATGAGAATGTGTAAGCTGTAGTGCTAGGTGATCCAATGATAACTTGTCACCCCATCAAGAAGAGTTTTATCTAATCAATTGATCAGCAGAGCTTTGAAATGATTTAGAGATTTTTGACTTGGTTCTTTGTTTACCTATGAGTGAACTTTTAACTCCTTGCTAAGTGTGAATGATGTAGCTATGAATTTGCCCTTAAATTACTCTAAGTTCTTTGGCTTTAGCATAGTCCCCTATAACATCATTGCCAGCCTCTGAATCATAATGTATTCCTTGCATAACAACACAAGATGGCTGTCTGCCTCATTTGGCTTCTGTTTTGCATCTGGGATCTTTGTAGAGAAGCTACTTCCATGTTTATGAGAGAAGTAGGTGAAGTCTCTGAAGGTATTGGATTAGCTTTAAAGTGTTCAGTGAAGAAAAGCAATAGTGCTCACTTCTACCTCAATCAACTTGCAACATCATGATGGTGAACCCAGTATTCAATAGAAAGGAATTATTAGATGCAATTAAATACCTAGGTTTTTTCTTAGAGCTGCCATAATCCAGCAGTTTCTGTGGATAGAGAGGAACAAGAGGAATTGGCTTTTTTATGCATACTTCCCTATTCATGTGCCTGGTTTTTGGTCCTTATGCCCTAGTTTTAATTCCATAGGCCAAGGAAATGCACAAGAATCTTGCTAAACAAAAAGGACGAGACCGCAGGAAAGGGAAGGAAACAGGTGAGGGGAAGAGAAGCCAGAGGCCCTTCCCCATTCAAGATCGGGAATTGGAAGAGATTCGTCGCCGAGAGGAAGCCCTGGAACGAGAGATTGAAGAGATGAAACGTGAATACCAAGAAGAACTGAAACGGGAGGAAGAAGAAGAGAAGTATTTGGAGAAGAAGATCCAAAATGTCCTTGCTGAAGCACGTCAAGTTGAGGAAGCATCAGATGATTCCCCCCTGTCCTCATCGAGGTGCGTGTATCCCTTCTCTTTGTTCCACTTCTTGGGCACTCACCTGAAGTGTACATTGAACTGGATCTGCTTGGCATGCTGTCTTGAGGTTTATTCTTTCAGCAATATAGAAGGAGCAGACTCAACAATAAGTGTAATGGTTCATTTTCCAATAGAATGGTAAAATGTAAACTGTAAAATGACATGAGGTGAGCTGAAGTATGGGTACACCTTTTCTGTACAGCCTACCTTTCTATATGTATATGTGAGTATACAGGGTGTCCCGTAAGTCAGGACCCATAGGGAAAAATTAATAAAATTACAAAATAGTCCAAAAATTTATTACATAATCTGTTCAAAGTGTCCGCCGTTGTGTCGCACACATAGTTGAAGACGCAATCTCCACTGCAACCGCACTTTCTGAATCACAGTTGCAGAAATTTCTTGACATGCCTCCACAATGTGTGCTTTAAGGTGGAAAATGCTCTGAATTTTGAATAATAGAAATCCCTATGGGTCCTAACTTACAGGACACCCTGTATGTATACACACATATACAAAGGCAATCAATTTATATATGTTACAAAAGTGATTCCTTCTCCATGAATAACTCAACTCATGGACTTACTTGACATCTCAATCGAAGATACCTGTTTAATGCCTGATTAGTAAATTTATTTTGGCTGTTTTCTAGATCCTTGCATGGACATGCAGGAGATGATGGGACACCTGCCAGTAATGATTCACCCTCTAGCCTCCCATCTGTGTGGAAAGGCTTCGTCCATATGGCAGATGTGGTGACATGTCTTACATCTGCCTATCAAGTGTCTGGCTTCTGTGACAAGCTCACTACTGATCTTCCAGATACCCTTGACATAGTTGGGAGGATTGATCCATCAACAGTCTGGGAGTACGTGGCAAAAATGAAGAAGTCTGGGACAAAGGTAACTAAATCATTGCTTGTATTCTTGATTATGAAAGAGATATTTTATTGTTACTAATTGTGATTGTTGTTGCTTGGGTCGTTAACAGGAAATTACAGTCTTGAGATTCCATCCTGGCAATGAGGGTGAAGAGTCTGCATATGTACTCTTCTACAAGTACTTGTGGACTCGCAGCCGCTTTGGAGTAGTTGGCAATGCCCATAAGATGGTCAAAGACTTTTATATCTTCCCTTTAGCAAGCCATGCTCCAGTTCCCCAAATTCTTCTACCCCTTGATGGACCAGGTACTGGTTGATTTTATGGTGTCATGTTCCATCTGTCAACCCTCTTTTTCACATGGATTCTGTTTCTGTTACTACTCTCATATTTTCTTCATTACTTATTTTATTTGTCTATTTCTGGGAAATTCTTTTATTTCACCAATGGTCATTTACCCAATTCTGTCCTAATGTGTGGCATTATGCCAAATAGATATAGACTTTTTTTAAAATGCCTTTTCCTTGTTATTTTTGCCATCAAGTGTCCTGCTTTTATAAATTGTGATGGTGTACTTGTATGCAGCCAACTCTCAGTATAACAAAAAACTGGTTATACCGAAACCCTTGTTGTTGCCCAACCGAATGTCCTGAGACACCCATGTTAAAAAAATTGAATATAGGTTAAGGTAGGGCTAATCGGTCATGTCTTGGACCTTTTTGGTCAGACTAATATCATACTAAGTTGAGGACGTGATCAAGCCTTTCAAAGTGGAGATGGATATGCCTCATGTGGACCTAGTCAAGGACATTTTCATGTTGGTGAGGATTGAGGGAGGATGCCAGGGTAGTCATTGCAAAGGTTTCTTTTTGTGTGTGCTTAAAATCAAAGTTTTGCTGTGTTTCATTTAAATCAGTTCCAATTTGGATTATTGTATGGTGTGGTGGTGCTTTGGGTCTGATAGGCCTACCCATGCTTTAGGAAGTGTTTTTTATTTTACCTGTTTGCCCCTGGAATCGAACAGTAAAGGAAACACTGACACGGAATACAATTGACTGAATAGCCCCAGGGGTGGAGGTATTCAGTCAGGCCAACTGCATGTTAATTTCTTTATTCTGTAAGCTAAAATATCACATGTACAGATTTTGTTTTCTGGCAGAATATGTAGCTGAATGACATGACCGGTTGAGGTTTCAAAGGTTTTTCTGTATAATTAATTCCCTGATTGTGGAGTAAGAAAAACTAAAAGTCATGACCAAATAGCCCCACCCTACCCTAAATGAAATTGGATGTAAAGAAATTTCTGATATAACGAAAGAATATCTGTGTCCCCAGATAGAAACTATGCAGGATACAATTAATTTTCCCCCTTCCAGATGGTAATAATTTTTTTTCTCCTTGATAGAAGTGCAGAAGGGTCAGTCCTTATCTTCATTCAGCCCTCCATCTTGGTCTTCAGCTGCTTGGCCTATGAGAACCTCATAGGCCATGCAGCTGAAGCAGCATGTACATAAAAGGGGGAATGTGATTGTGCGTGTGGCATGGAATGTGAACATGGAAGATGCAAGTGAGCAGTGCACTTCAGTGCTCATGCTCAGCAGCTTTTTTGTTGGGTTCCCTTGTTCCATTGATCCCATGTGAGTTTAATTTTGTGAGGCTTCAGGTGGTCCATGCCCTTTACACAGCAGAAGCATTGACGCATTTAATCCTTTGACTGTGTAATTTATTTTGGCACACAGCCAATGGCAACATTATAGGAAGCAACTGGGGTTACTTTTTGCAGTGTAAGGGTTAAGATGTCAGCTGCCAATGCAGTTTCTGGCGCTTCAACTGTGATGCCACATGACCCACCAGTGGATAGGTGTCAGCGGAGATGTTAAAGTACTGTTGTCCATGAAAACTTTAGAAGTTGTAGGACCCCCAAGGTACACCCACAGAATAATAATCATATATGCACAGGCATAATGGGATTCAGTTCTTAATTCGAGATATACAACTCTCTCCTGATATAATGAAAACCCGATATTAGGAAATATTTACGGTGGCTTCAATAAGTTCCTTATACTGAGAGTTGACTACTTTTTCATGCTGTTGTTGTAACATTGAGTGCATTCATCTCAGGATTTGAGGAGAAACGACCTCATCTCCTCTTGGGAGTCTTGATTCGTCATAAACGAACAAGAAGCACTGAAGAAGAAAGGAGGTGGCTCCTGAAGCCTGTTGTATCTCCATCAGGTGAATCTTCAACTTTTTTCAGTGTGGAATGAACTGTTTTTTAGGAATAAGCATTTTGATCTGTTCTGGGCAGCCCTCCACAGGGAAAATATAGCAGAGGTTTTCAGGTCTTCTAGTATTTGGGTTAAGTGTCTGCTCTAAGTGTTCTCCAACACTCTTTGGAGATAATAGTTGGTTTTGGTTATGGGAATTAGGATTCACAGGGAAATCTGAGATTTCTGTATCACAGAAGACAGATCTGATGTATTTCAGCCAGATATGAGTTCATGAAAGGCCAACCAATAGAGTGCTTCTGGCCATACATGAGGCACAGCTGCCACTGCCATAATGCATGATACCTTCTGCTTTGTTTGCACTATTATGGTATGATATTTTTGATAACATCATACCATAATAGTGATGTATAATACCATGATAGTAATAGTGAATGAAAGATTGTCAGAACTTTACTTATTATGTGTTGTAAATGGAATCAACTATCAAATGGCTGTTGCCATCTGGTCTGGCTGAAAGAACTCATATATTTAACATTGTGTCTTGGTACGAATTTGTTCATTGTCAGCACTAGTCAGTGACAGAGTCCTCAGCATCTAACAGGGACTCTTTTTCTCATCAGATTAATCTAATGTGTACAGGGTCTTGCATAACCTTTTGCTAGGGGGTATGACCTTAAGTACAAATAGAACAATTGTAAGTTATATATCAATTTAAACCTTTATTCAACCTGAATACAGTAATGCATCAGTATTTTGTGTGACTGCCATTGGCTTCACGTACAGCCCTCAAATGTTGAGAGCATAATTTCAACAAATTTTCAAAAAGTTATGCTTCATTTTTCATTTAATGGAATAACATTTTGGAAGTTTTGTGGGACAACCGCTTCCGAATTTCAGTCAGAACCAAGCTCACTAATCATATTTTCTATTTTTTCCTTAAAGCCATTATTGATATGGTATCGTCATCTGATTAGCTTTCCACACCAATTTGAAATTATTTTTTCGCAACTCGACTGCAGCTTTTTTTCTTTGTCTTTTCCCACTGGTCTCCATCACAATGTTATTCCTCACTTGAGACAATTTTTCCTGCCTGCCGTCATAAAATTTCGTAAAACGAGATTCGTATCCTTTGTTCCAGTTGTCAGTAACCCAATCTCTCACTGCGATTCAGTGGTGAGATAATCACTTTCAATTGATAAATGTTGCACCTGCTTCCCTTGCTTCTTGATAGGCGTATGCTCGAATGCAGTCCATCACACGTTGCCTTTCATCATCGCCAACCACTCCAGCGATTATAATTTTCAATGACAAATATGAAATCAGAATCAAATTATATTTTAAAATATGTATAACACTCATATTTTTTATGCTCCATAATTGTTGTACCCCCCTAGCAAAAGGTTATGCAAGACCCTGTATATCCAGGATTGTAGTGCGCATGTGCAATCTTATTATGATCATTTTGATCATCATCTGGTGGAAATAGGGCTGAAGGGGAATAGGCCAAGGCTGCAGATTTAGACAGGTTTTTTTGTTGGCCTGCAATACTCTATTATGAAGTCATTTGCTCAAACAGCCCAGAAAGGGAATATTGAGAAAGTCATGTCCCTCAAGCACTCCATCTTTTGATATTTCTCCTGATTCTACATAACCCTTTGGGGTCTTCTCCTGATTCTACATAACCCTTTGGGGTCTGAGCATTTCAGATAAGTCACCAACTGTCATCCAAGTTTTTTCCATCCCTTATGAGGCCAACATGAAATAACTCAGGTGTGGACCCCAAAAGGTTAAGAGCATATGAAATTAGGATGCTTTGTAACTTAGATATGAAAAGAAAAAAAAGATTTTTGGAGGCAGGCTATTAGTGGGTTTTTCATGTCAGTCAAATTTTCAGTTTTAGCTTCTTCCATCTTCCAGTACAGCAATTTCATTAATGCTAAGAAAATAAATCTGACAGTTGATCATAGTGATTTCACTGATCATAATAAAATTCACTCTTCTCCACCATGTAATCGTAGGTGCAGGAGGTGCAGTGATGCATTTGGACAAGCACTCAGGGAGTTTCACTCCCCCATTACCCATGGAGGATAGTCAGACTCCCCCTGGCTCTCCTCCTACCAAGAAGAGAGCCCCCTATGTTCCAACTATGAGGAAGAGGAAGTCTGAGAGCGGTCTAGACCTGGAAGTCTCCTATCACCCTGAGGTTAACCAAGGCTCTTCTAGGACCATCGGTGTGTGCCCTTTTATGGTTGCATGCACATTGTTCAGTAAGCTGACTTGCAACATGAAAGGAGCTTCATGTAGATTTTTTTATGCACTAGGCAGTGAGCCTAGGTAAAGGACTGTAAAGGAGTGGTCTGCTCCATCAGCACCACTCTGATGTATACCATTCAGTTATTTTGGAACAACATTGACATCAATTTGTTCTAAGGGAAGTTGAAACCAGAATCTATTGATCAGTGTAATCACTGGAGCCTCCTATTTGCCAATAGCATTCCTGAATCAGGAACCCTCTCCCTCGGATGCAGTGTTACTGTTGAGTAGCAAGTTATTCGAAAAGATTCATTAATGTGGTGACTATCTCCATATTCTGGTGTGGGTATTATGGTAGTCATACATTTTCCCTGAATTAGAAGAAATAACAAACTGAATATATGAACAGTGCCTCTGGAGAAATAAAGATGCCATTGACTTTTACAAAAAGAGAAGTGCATGGCTGGTTAAAATGACTGCTTTTCTGAAGTTGTGATATTCCTATAGTGCATCTGTTTGAATTGCGGTTTATCAGATATATGCGGGCGGCATTGATATGATAAGGGTGAGAAGTGGGAAGCATCAATTAATTTGGCCACCCCCAAACCCAAGGGCAACTCTGCCCCTTTTTTGAGGGGGGAAGGAGGTAAGATGGCCCTGATCCTGTTCCTGTGGATCAGTGGTTCCCAACCTCGGGTCGCGACCCAAATCAGGGTCACAGGGGTCCTCAGTAGGGTCGCAAAGGGGCATCGGAAGAAAATTTTCTTTTTTTAATGCTAAAAAGTGCCCGAAAGGCTGAGGCAACCCCGCCGACCAATAGTTTTTTGCTCTCCTTACCATAGCTTACGAGTACAAAAGACAAAAGTGCATTACGTGCATTTTTGTCTCGTTTCAAATTGAAGCCCTTACCTCTGATTTTGCAAAATGGCAAAACAAAGTTTACCGTACAACTCCGATTTTTTGAAGCTGGGCTTCACTGAGTTGAGGGATCGTTCTGGCTTAGTTCGCCCACAGTATCTGCAATGCATGCAAGTATTGGCAAATGAATCTTTGAAGGAAAGCAAGCTGAAGCGGCATCTCAACACTGTCCATCCGAATTTCGTAGATAAACCACTGAGATTCTGGAAGGAGAAAGAGGCGAACGTGGAACGTATGAGACTTGATGCTCCGTCAAATTCAGGGACTGTTTCTTTGGAAAAAGTTACGAAGGCATCATTTGCAGTGGCCTGGAAAATTGCATGTTGCAAGAAGCCTCACAATATCGGAGAAGAACTTGTTAAAGCCAGCGGCCCTTGCTATGGTCAGGACTGTCTGTGGAGATGAGATTGCCAAGAAACTTGAATTGGTCCCGCTTTCTGACAACAGCATTAAACGACAAATTGACCTCATGTCACAAGATATTCTCGAACAAGTTGTTCATGCGCTAAAAAAAAAACAGGAAAATTTGAGATTCAGATCGACGGATATTGAGAACAACCCTCAGCTCATGGTGTTTGTACGCTACAAAACAGATGACATTGTTGAAGAATTTCTCTTTTGTGAGCCTCTTAAAACCATGACAACTGGTAAAGACATTTTCGAAATGGTCAGTGATTTTTTCAAGCAGCATAATCTCCACTGGATGGATTGCTGTGCTGTTTGTACTGATGGAGCCCCAGCCACGATGGGAAGTCGAGTGGGATTTTGCACACGAGTGAAAGAGGTCACCCCTGAAGTCGTCATCATTCTTTGCTTCTTGCATCGAGAGAACTTGGCGACACAGGAAATGCAACCAGAACTTTACTCGGTTCTGAAGGATGCTATCCAAATTGTGAACTTCATCAAGGCGAGGTCACTGGATTCTCGACTGTTCTGTGTTTTGTGCGAAGAAATGGGATCTGAGCACCAGCACTTGCTCTATCACACAGAAGTCCGCTGACTTTCTCGTGGGAAAATCCTTTCACGTGTCATGTCGCTCAGAACGGAAATGGAATTTTTTTTAAAGGGAAAAATCACTCGTTGGCTAACCATTTCAAGGATGAAACCTGGCTAGCAAAGCTGGCTTACTTGAGTGATATTCCCCAGCACTTGAACGAATTGAGTGCTGAAATGCAGGGGCGAAATCGGACCATGGTTGATATTGGTGAGAAGATCTCTTCATTCAAAAGGAAATTAGCCCTTTGGCGGGGAAAGATGTCAAAGGGAAAAATTGCAGCATTTCCTGGGCTGAATGAATTTCTTGAAGACGCAGCAGAAGTATCTATCACAGACCTGGCTGCGATTTTTCAAGAACACTTGGTGAAACTTCAAACAGAGATGGATCAATACTTGCCCGAAAATGTCGATCTTCAGAAGCACAGCTGGGGGAGAAATCCATCTGATTTGGACGTCCATGAAGTTGGAGATGATGTTGATGGATTCCAGGAAGAACTCCTTGACCTCCAGGAAAATCAAGTGTTGCAAGAGAAATTTGTTCAAGTTTCTTGGTCACAGTTTTGGGCCCAGCTGCGGGGTAAACCTGTTCTGTCTCGTGAGACAGAACCCCTGTCGTCCTGTCTCTGTGCTTCCTTTTCCAACTACATATCTTTGTGAGGCAGGATGTTCTAGTCTGGTTGTAATCAAGACGAGCAAGAAATTGTCTTGACCCGCAGCATGACCTTCGCTGTGCCCTCTCTATCAATATTCAGCCGAGGATAACTAAACTGACCGAGAAAATGCAGCATCAGGGTAGCCACTGAATTCCGAAGGATTTCTAATGTCTTCACATAAAGTGTCTCATTTTCATCAAAATTATTTGTTGATATGGGTGTCTGGGTTAAATGGGGATTTCTGAGAAATATTTTAAGCATTTTTTCGTTTCAATTAGCATTTTTGCCTGTTTTCAAATTAATTTTTGTATATGATTAGCCGAGGATAACTAAACTGACCGAGAAAATGCAGCATCAGGGTAGCCACTGAATTCCGAAGGATTTCTAATGTCTTCACATAAAGTGTCTCATTTTCATCAAAATTATTTGTTGATATGGGTGTCTGGGTTAAATGGGGATTTCTGAGAAATATTTTAAGCATTTTTTCGTTTCAATTAGCATTTTTGCCTGTTTTCAAATTAATTTTTGTATATGATTGAACTACTGATGATGTTTAATGTGCATTTGTATGCATCAAGACATTCAATAAACTTGATTTATACCTGAATTCCCAATATATTTCTTTAGTTTTAAATAATTAATACATGAATATGCTCGTAAATAAATAATAAAATCAATATAATTATATATATATGTATGTATTTCTATTGATATGCATATTTGAATTTTTATCATAAGCCTGAGGGTCGCGAGGTCCTGTCGATGCCCAATTTAGGGTAGCGGCAAGAAAAGGTTTGAACCACTGCTCTAGGCCAAACGAAATCAGAATTGAAGGACTGAAAGGTAAAGTGGTTTATCTGCAAAAATTTCTGAAAAAGTGTTGCTGGTTTTGTGCTCAGAATCTTGCTTCTTTCATGAAAAATTATAGTTTTTTTGTAATTATGTAAATGATGAACTTTATAAATACCACTTTTCCTCACATTTAATATGGTCACTAGAATATTTACTCTTTCCGTGTAGAGTTTAAGGCAATAATTTTTTGCTGATAGGGCACCTTGCCTTTCTACCCTTCAATTGGAAGGGAAGCAGCAGAACGAAAATTATTTGACGAAACTATAACGTCAGTAACACGACATGAATGGCTTTACTTTTCAACGTGTCACATAGAAACTACAGGGTGGTCCATTCGAGTGGAACCATAGGGAGTAATAAACTTTGAAAAATCTTACATTTCTTTTTCATATAACACTTATTATTTATTAATATGATTTGCACCCTTTCATCTTTGGATTAACACATTATCTTCTTCTAATCTTCACAAACCTGTATCTGAAAAAGAAAAAAGAAAAAAATTGGTTATTCAATATGTTTCCATCTAAATGGCCCACCCTGTACATTCCACGCATTCTCGCGCATTTTAATCCAACGATACCCATGTGTCTGCCGCGGCAATACAGAGGGTTGTTTGGTACCTATGGTAACGGGATGACTTCATGGGATGACTTATTTTCTCAACCACCTGGCATGTTTGATCTGATGCTCCTGCATCCTAACATTAGTCCGACATCTCATTTGCCATTCTAAGAGGCTCATCCTCAGTAAATCTAGAGGTATCCTCTCCCACTCTTCCTTGCAATTGTTCCAGAGTCCTTTTATCCCCTTCGGCCACCTTCTTCCAAAGCGTCTCTCGAGGAGACCGAACCGACAAAAATGCTTGGTTTACGCATTGGGAGACCTGACAGGGATGTCTGAATATGGAATGGCACGAATTTCGACCGTCTCCTCCATCTTCTTGGGGAAAGGTCTTGTTAAAGCAGAGGTATGACTGGAGGCTTTATCTTGATGAACTTCAAGAGTGGTGGCATTTTAATAAAGCCTGGGAATTTCCTGTTCGTAAAGAGATTTTAAGACACGATCCTGATACTATTGAGAGTTCATTTTCCCTTTTGGTGGCACTTTTCTCGACCCCATTGTGGCGGCATAGCAATAACAAGCAAAGACAATTAAATCTTTGAGAAAAGTTTATTTGCTTTCGCAGTACCACTTCTGAAAATGTTCTTCACCTCAAGGAACATGATGAATGGCCCTAACCTTGCTGCCGTCACTCAGGTTAATGCAGGCTTCATCCAATGGCGCCACATATTTACATTTTTCTCTAGAAATATGGCGTTCATAGAACTTTCGGGCATTGGATATGCTCTCTTAAATGCGAGAAAAATGTGAAAAATAATACATTTTTGGTTTTTGGCGTTTTGCCAAAACCCCAGTTCGAGCTTTTCCAACATTGTGAACCCCTTCCACTGATACGCTTAATCCTTTCTTATTTCACTTCTTCACAATGGCAGAATATAAATAGTTAATGTCGGAAAGTGCAGTGTTAGGCTAAGCACCCTGATTTTTGGCCAGTCTCCAGTTGTTGGCCAGTGAAGCTAAAATCCCGCATAATTAGTTAATCTGGCCGTTTTCAAGCATTCTATCAACATTTTCCCCGTTCAAGGAACTGTTACTAGTGTTTCCCGATGTGCGCACAGGGTGTCCACTTCCTATGGGAGTCGTATCAGCGTGGTCAAAAACTGGGGCTTAATTGGCCAAAAACTTGGGTGTTTACCCTATAGGCTACCAACAATGGGCGGAATTTTGACTCATTACCCTGAAATAACTGACTTGCTAGAAACACAAGATGTATCCAGGCTGTAAGCCCCTAGGCAAAGAAAAATATCTGCCAGGACGGGCGCAGTGCTGTGTGAAAATTGTTACCATAGGAACCAGACAACCCTCTGTAGTTATGCGATTGGGAATAGGAGAAAAGTCGTCGGGCTTTTTTTTTTTTTTTTTTAGTCCCATCCACTTTTGCATATAAAATCACGAATTCCATCTCCGGCTTGTCATGATTCTCCTCGGACTAAGAACGATTTTGCTGAGGCCATGTCGAAGAATGGAGCAACTGTCGGCCATATTTCTCCTGCATGTCTCCTTCCTCGCCAACGACCATGAGCTTTGCTTTTCCTCTGAGACTATCTCGTAGTGGAATGACCCACGATTCAGATGGCTCTTAAATTGCCTTTCTAGGTGAATCGGTTGCTGAGTGGTTGGATTTTCCCAACTGTACCTGATATGGCCAGCATACTATACAATGCGTGATTTTTCTGTCCCTCTCCCTTCCCAATCCACATCTTTCCAACCCGCCCTACGCTTGAAAGGATTCGGCATCTGCAGCTAACGCTTCAGAATTTCCGCACGCGAGGCATCCAACATCTCTAATGAATAGCCAGCGGCGTAGCATCGGGATGACAAGGAGGACACGTGCCCCTTCACTTTTCAAGAAAATAAGCCAAAAATACGAGAGTTGTCCGAAAAGTTTTCTGTATTGATTTTTAAAATGAGTTACACTCGATGAATCTGTATTAAATTTCAGTGAGCACTGGTTATGTCTAATAGTATTCACTGTGCGAAGTTTGGTATAAACTCATCCAGATTTACAATTGCTGCCGGATATTTCATACAGTCACTATGAACGCCTCCGTCGTCCAAGCATTGGCGTCCGCTGGTTTATTTCCAGGGGGGGGGGGGGGGGGGGGGGGGGGGGGGGGGGGGGGGGGGGGGGGGGAGNGCAGATGCGCACATGCAGTGTGATCGTATATTTTGTAAAATGATGAAAAAGTACAAGATTTCTGCACTGATTAGCTGAAGGTACAGTACGATACAGATAATTATATCAGTTACAACAATTAATTATTAACATTCAATATAGCAACCTTAAGAGTATACAGTACGTTTCAATAAAGAGTGCCTTGGTAGGGCCCGATTAAATCACAATATTTAGTAATATTTATAAGAAAAAAGGAAGTGCTTCTCCACTGCAGAAGTTTACAGGAACAATAATTTGCCGTCCTATGTCTGTGCACATTAAAATCACAATGTTACGAATGTAAATATGAAGTTATATGAAATATGAGTTACGAATGTAAATATGAAGTAAACTAGTGCACTTGATATTTGGGTCGTGTTTGAATGGTGAACTATAAATCAATATCACGAAATAATGTGCCCTGAGTTGGGGAATCTTACTTTGGCCTCAAAATACCCCTTACCCGTAGACCTATTATACAACTTTCAC